TTTTAAGACCTTCCTAAGCACGGGACCATCTTTACTTTCAGTCACAGGGACAGCAGCATCTGTGAGCAGCCCTAAGGAAAAAAGCTCTAAGGTAAACAAACATACCAAGCTTGAAGAAAGGAGCTCTGACTGCCCCTTCCACTGTGATGGGCACCTTCCCCAAGACACTCTTTGCTGGTACTATGATGTAAATCAGGCCACCCCAGAGGCAAGAAATGGACTGCTTCTGGCAGGCAACATCACAGGTGCGTATTACCACTGGTGCCCGTTTCATCTCTTTGGCATTAGAGAGGTCATCTGTGTGACACCCAATCTGCACCTGCCAAATAGAAGCATAGGAACAGCTGATCAAAGGTGTCCGAGTGCAACCTGGCAGCCTGACCTCAACATCCTGAACTCTCTGCTACAGCACTGTCCCTGCAGAGTACACACGCAGAAGCAGCCTTCCGGCTCCAGCCTAGTTCAACTTTTCAGCCTGTGGTGGCCAGGATCAGTAAATATTATGAAAAAAGCTGATGAAGTTCAATGCTATCCCTGTCTCAGACAGTCTTACAGCTATTCTCCCATTATTACTGGCTCAACTACATCCTTCACCAGCTGGTCAGGGTACCGCAGTGACTTCTTTCACTACACTGTACTTGCATTGGTCATTCCTCTACCCTTTACCAGCATCAAAGTCACGTCCTGTAACACAGGAGATGGAGAGATGTGCACATGGCTTACATCTTTTATTGTGCCTTCTCCTTGGACCTCTTGTAGGAAAACAAACAATATGTGGCTGCAGGATCAGACAGATCACCTGAATTAATTTTGCATTTCAGCTGCAGGAAGGACACTGCAAAAAATGTTCAAGCAGGTAAGCGTTTACCTGTGTCATATTTTGTGGAGAACGGGATCCCAAGTAATAGTGTATCTCTGCTCTGGATACATCTACACGAGCATTAATGACAGCACTGTCAAAGTAATTTATGAGAAATCTGAAGAGATGGAATCAAGTTTGGTGCATAGAAGGGCCCAGTCCTCTTTGCACAATAACAGAACAAACACAGTTGCCCTCAAGCAGCGGCCACACTCAATTATCCCTCCAGCACACAAAAACAGGAAGAATGCAAAAGAAAAGAGTAAGAACATGAGGTGAAAAAATGATAACAAAGCATTTGAAGTGCCACACGGTGGCAGCAGTAGGAAAGGACTGAAAAGGTAGCAAAAAACATTAAGGAGAAAATTTTTGAACGCTCACCTGTCAAATACAGAAGTGTAAACTAAAGCCAAAATAGAGAGATCTTACCTTCAGACCAGCACCGACCACTAGGCATGGGCATGTTATAACTGCTGTGTGCCCTTCAGGGAGGTAGAGTCCTGTACTCCTCCAGGCTGTCTTACCTAAAGGTAAGAGATAACACAGTCCTGAACAGTCAAGCACTTCTTTGTCCTGACCATTATAGATTCTGGAGATTTGAAGTTTCAGCAGGAGAACAATCTTCCATCCTTTTCTTATCCCTTGCTCTACACTCAGAGAACCGTCTCGCATTTTACCCAACCTGTCAGAAATACAGTTTCAAAGCTGTAGGGTAGCAGCATGAACAAGAACATCAAATCATTAATAAGCAAGCCCACGTAAATTTGAACTTCTGGAAATTCCAAGCTTAAATGCATTTACCAGTACCTTTTAAAAATAATACATAATAATAAAAAAAGAAACCAAAATTCCAACACCTCCTCCACTCAGATCCTCTTACCCTAAAGCCCTCATAAGGGGTGCCAACTATGCTGGTATTAAACACAGTTGAAGTTGTAATGGTCATAAAATATTTCCCAAATAACAGACTGACAGGAGCATTGCATTTTTCCTTATTGACTGTATTTTTCCAGCACAAGCTGCAGCCCACAGGAATTCCCATTTCTAGGTGATTGAAGTTATGAGAAGGTCTAAAGAGATCGTTCCATGCTAGGTATCCCATCGTGTCACTACAATTCAGCACGTTTCTAGACAGTCTTCTCTTGGAAAAGCAAGTCTCCTCATCCTAGATCTCTTTAAATACTTGCAGTACATAGTGCAAAACTGACCCATCTCTACCATACATATTGGGTACATTCTACTCCCAAGGTCTGACATAAAGTTTACTTAGGCATGTTTCAATACAGACACCAGAAGTCCTAAAAAGAGATGAACTGTCGTAAAGCACCCAGCTTACAACCCTTCCTGTCATCCAAGAAAGCAAGACCAGTTTTGTCAAGCAAAATCTAATCCACAGAAAAATGTCGATTAGACTATATCACAATGTTTTACCAGTTCGTTTCAGTTTTGCTGAATTTGCATCAAAGGCAGTTTTGAATGGTGTTCAGGGTTTGCTAGCATTTCTTTCTTTTTTATTTATGTGAAATTACACAAATTCTGAATATTTCTCTTCAAACAAAATACTGTGTTTGAGCCAATCCATTCAGTTCAACCAACCCTAACAATTTTCCCCTTTTGTCCAGACTCATTAATGCTAAAACCAGTGAGCAGTTATTCCACAGCTTTTCTCTTTGCATAACCTCTGCAGTCAGGCATTGCCACTCCAGAAACAGTCTCCTTCATCTCATTAGAACAGTTTGGAAACAACTCCTCTAAATTATATCCTAATACCAAAAAACCCCCCATAAAATCTCAAGATTAATGTGTCCAGGGGATAAAACCTTACTAATGGAATTTAACCTAGAGTTTAAACATATCAGTTATGAGCAGGAATCTCAGCAAACTTGTACAGATACAAGGCCTAAGCGTAGACAAATCATTAATGGTGTAATTACAAATACCTTGGCTCCAGTGGTGGTGTCAGCCCTAGAAGTTCCCAGCATACTTCCAGCCTCCCGTTTTCACCCCCAAAACCAGATCTTCACTCCACTAACTGTGCTGATACAGCAAGATGTGAGACTGTGCTCTAACTCAAGTTGAAATTATCTAGATAACAAAAATCCCTTATGTTTCTAACTCCTACCTCTTTGTAGGATGTCTCCATAGATGGCTGTATCAGCACAACTATGACAACAGCAACCTGTAGTGTAGAGCACAGGGTTTCCTAAAGAAGCTTTACTGCCAAAGCCATTGTGCTGTGCAAATACCCTGGGGTAAGAGTTGTTAAGGGGTTTGTCTTCCCCAGGTGCCTGTGCACCAACAGTGAGGAAGAAGGACTTTCATAGGGTGTTTCAGAGTGCTGAAATCAGAGCTGGCCACAAAAGGATCCCATCTGCCACTACACAGAAGTTGGCCTCCTCTCAAGCCCACAGTGAAATTGCACATGTTCAGACATACACAGACGGATGCATGCTGAGGCCGGGCACCACACCGACCCCAGCAACAGGACGTTTCAAGAGGACAGGAGATACACTCCTCACCTGGGTTTGTGCCATCAATTTCCACAGTGACAGGGAGGGCACAGACCCCAGTAGCACATTTCTGCACCAGGGCTGCACTGTCTGTCATGGTGAGGGACAGCTCGGTTGCCATGCAGAGCAGGACTGCCTCTTTGGAGTTTCTCTTGACAGGGCAGTGCCTGCTGACCTGTGGGATCCCACTTCTCTGAAGCACTTTGGTCAGGATGCGGTGCAGCGAGGCATATGCTGGGCAGTCGTGGGCTGGGATGCGCAGGAAAGCAGCACAGTCCCGTGCTAGGCACTGCAGCCAGTCCTTCAGGGGCTCCGTGAGCTCCTCACATTTGTTCACCTGCGTGCTGAAGAGCAGGAGCGCCTTGCGGAAGTGGTAGTGCTCCCCAGGCCCCACGGGCCGGTGCTTGGCCGCCTGGCCACTCTGCCCCAGGATACTCAGCCCAAAGCGGTTCAGGATTTTGTTGCCAGGATATTCTGCCACAGCAGCTTTGCCGCAGTTCTGAGAAGCCCAGTACCAGGCTTGGCCTCCCACCAATAGGCCACCTCCCTCTGCCACGAAAGCGTGAATCCTTTCCGCCTCTCTGTCGCTGTAAGAAGAGCAGCAGTACACGCTGAGGTCACCTGTCAGCTGTGACACCTGCGACTTCACCCCTTCCAGAGAGAGGAGACCACACATTTTCTTCAGGCTGGGATCCACACCCACCAGCCCCTTTCTCCCGGCATCCAGCCAGCAGACAGCGTTGAGCAGGAATCTGGCCAGCTTTGGGGAGAACAGATGGCTCTCGTGGGTTGCCACCACAACACGGCCTCGGCCATAGTGTGCTGCAGCCAAGAGGCAGCAGTGCGAGCTGTCCAGGCAGAGGGGGAAGGAGAGTACACCATGCACCAGCAAGGTGGAGGGAATGCCCCCTGTCATCAAGTCCAGCTCCAGCACATCACGCAGGAGAAACTCAGCATCAAGGCTGAGGTTGGCCTGGTGCCTGCAGAATCAAGACAGGTTCAGGTTAGCCCCCATCCCACAATTCTTGGCTCAAAACCAACCTCATCCATCCTTGCCTATTCTTCCTCCCTCATCCTAGTACATCATGCTGTCAGTTCTTTCATTAAAAAAAATAAAATACAGCAATATCTCATTTTTTTTTCCTTTTAAAGCCTCAGTTTCTATAGCCAATCAAATCTGTAAGAATCTCAGCACTCATTTAGAAAAAGGAAAGAACAGGCCAAAAGGAAGTTTCTAGATCTCTGACTTTGAAGAGCCAGTTGAAAATCTAAATACATTGCAGAAACTCAAAAATCAGACCCTTCATGGTTTTTGAACCGCAGATTTAAACTGCAAATGGTGTGGGAATTGGCAAATCTATAATAGAAACTTTCTCCATTTGCCCCGCCCTAGTCTTTAACAACTAGGCAAGCCCAAAAGATTTCTCTCTGCCATTTCCCAGCCTCTGCCACTGCTGAGAATTGAAGAAGGAGAGCAACAACAGATGGGCTATATGGACAGGCAGACACACAGCTAGACAAATAATGAGTGATTTGAAGTTGAATTGGAGCCCTAAAACATAGACCTCACATTACCTCACATTGTTGGTTTCCACAATATAAAGAGATTAGGCTGTGCAAGGCCCTCTTATCTCTGTTACTTCGATATAACTCCTTTATGTCACTGTGGATATAGATATGCTGAATGACTCTCATTTGCTTTGTACACACTTTCTCCTGGTTCTGCCAAACAGTTTTCCCCCAACACCTGTAAAGTATCTGTTGTTACGTGGCCATCGCAGCCAAATCAGTAAGAATAAATTATGCTGCCCTTCTGCACACCTGTATCACAGGAATTAAATCTGCAGCTCTCCTTCGGTTACTACTTTACTGAGACCCTTTGTCACACAGAGTATGTGCCCTGGCTTATGTCACAGCACCTGCCTCAGACTGCAGTCAGATTCTCTGTACACAAAGCTGCCAGGAAGGCCTAGAGGCACAGAGCTGTTGTGTTACACAGAAATTAGATACCTAAATTTCTCTGTGGCTCTGGATTGAATAAAAATCACCACAGAAGCAACCTAAACAAGGTATATTTCACCTTAGTTACCATTTAAAGTCATAATAATTGTGATGCAATTTTTCTCTGCTGAATTCTCCAGCCCTCTCCCTTTTTTATGCACTGTGTATGAAGCAGTGGGAACGTGCCTGTGCAATACAGGTGGGGACAAAAATGAACCAGCAAATTTTAAATAATAACTTTATTTGTTAGCTGTATTCTAAGCATCTCACTGAATCCAACAGCTAAGATTTCTACTATCTTTATTACTAAATAAATTGAGCATCCCGAAAGTATCAAATCAAATTGTTTGAAAATATTAGAAATTTAGTATTATATATCCACAAGGAAAAGGCTGTGAAGGAAAGACTTGCAGGGAATTTTACTGCAACTGTTGTGGCTTTCCCTACAGTGAAATTAAGCTGCCACACAGCAGAAGCGCAGCAGCACTCATGCTCCTAGGAGAACCTGCTGTGCCTTGTGTAACTCAGAAGAAAGTGGTAACAGGCACAGCCACTGGCAAGGGGAGGAGGGTGGCAGAGCAATGCCCAGGACTCCAACGACTGGTCAGCTCCGAGTTTTACACCTGATGCTCCAGGACTCAAAGGGACAGGCTGGAATCCCAAACAAACTGTGAGCACTGAGATTTCCAGCCCTCAGCCCAGGTCAGAACTGAGAAGGAAGGTGGCACCCAGCCTGCTTCCTCACCTCTGGGGCGGCCCCAGGGTCTCACCTGCAGAAGGTGAATTCCTGCAAGTAACAGGCTAAACAGGTTTAGCAGCTGTCAGCCAAAGCCTGGCCCAGAGGGCTGCCCTGGTGCTTCATCACCAACCTGTTTTTCAGCTATGGGAAAATTGCCCTAATTGTACAATGTGGGGAGAGGGAAAGGAGTTCCTCCTCCTGTCCCTCTGTTGCTGTGTGTTGCACTCAGGTACACTTGATCAGGCAGAATGCTCTAAAAGATGGCTCCCCTCATTTTCTTCTCCCTGAATGGATTCCCTGTGTCTGTCCCAGCCGCACTGGAAGCAGTAGAAAACACCATTCTTTCCAATTACAAAGAGTGGAAAGGTCCCCTTTAAACTGGAAGACAACAGTTGCATCCCATCCTGGCTATTAAAGAACTAGTATTCACCGTCATCCTCAACTCTCACCTCACGAATCTTCTATAAACAGCTCAGTTGCGCAACCTGAACCATTGTTTAAATAGAGAGCAATTCAGATACTCACGGGACAACTAATGGGATCTTGGGAATTTTCTTAGCTACTTTGAAGATGCCTTTTTCCACAGCATTTCCTGTGAAGTACACGCCAGCCACGCTGGTCACCTGGTTCCCAGGGAATTCGAACAGCACCTTCTCCTTGCCATGTTGACTAGCCCAGTGCCAGGCTTGGCCTCCAATGAGGAGCCCTCCACCCCCTTTCACAAAGCCAACCAGGTCTTTCGCCTTCGAGCTGTCATAGGCATCCACACAGTACACTCCCAGGGAGGGGCTGAGCTCTGCCCCGGCCTGTACTTTAGTGCCAGCCTTGAGCAGCACCTGGGAGAGGGAATCCAACCGAGAATGAACGCCAACCAGGGCCTCGGGGCAAGGCTTAAGCCACTCCACAGCATTTCTGAGGAACTGGGAAAACTTGGAGTCCTTCAAGATTCCTTCATGGGAAACAACCACCATCCGGCCCTTCCCATACTGTGAAACAGCAATCAGAACTTGCTTCTTAGCACTCAGGAGCACAGGGTAGGCATCCTCTCCGACAAGTAGCAGTTCACAAGGAACAAAACCGCCAGTGAAGTCCCATGGCCCAACACTGTCCACTAACAGCTCATAGACGGCAGAGGGTTTCATCTTCAGGAAGCTCCTATCTGGTGGAGAGAAGACCATCATCCATTACAGCATGGCTTAGCAATAAAGGACAGCTCTAACAACCCTGTGGAGTAATTTTCTTGTCTAGTAGGAACTCCAAACAAAAAGGAATCAGCTTTGTGGACACAACTTTTTGGGGGATTTGGTATTTTTTTTGTTTGCTTTTTTGGCTTTGTTATCACAGTATTTACCATTTAAATAATTTTAAAAATTATTTTAAATTTAACTTAAATTTAAAATTTAAATTTAAAAATTAAAAAATTAAAGTGACAAGTATATCAAGATGATGGAGGCAAAGAAAATGACTGCTTCAACAAATTCTGCTAAGTACCATGGGACAAAATAGGGAAATACAGGTATTCACTTTCCCATTAACAATTTATTTGGAGAGAGAGAGTGCCAGATGTTCCAGGAAGTCTATTAGGAATTTGCTTAGTAGAGGTGGTTTACACAGAAACACCCAGAAGATGAAAAGATTGTATCAACAGAAAACACAACATAATTCAAACATGCAGTTCATATTTTAGCTCCTAATTGGATATGTACAGAGCTACACGCAGTTGCTGCAACATGCTGTTCCAAAGTTGTATTTTTCTACCTTCACTTAGGCCCTATAAGCTCTTGCTTAGTATTAGAAGTTGCTCTGAGGCTGGGGGAGAGCAAGCACAAACAATGGAGACAACCAGCTCCCCGAAATAACTTCAGTTTAAGTCACACAGTACCTAGGAGAGCAGGTCTGGGCACAGGAGATTCATGCCCTAGTTCTCTGATCCAAACTGCTTTGCAATCTCAAGAAAATAATTTCTCTTTTCTGTAGCTTCGTTTCATCTGTTTTCCCATCTACGAGGTAAGGAGGGTGGTACTAACCTTGATTGCCAAGCCCTTTGGGGTCTATGGGTGTCACGTGCTATTAAGGCTCCCTCAGTTTGAAAGTTTGGCTTAGCTTTTCCCTGAGGTTGTCTTCTGTCGAGCTGCAGCAGCTGTGACTGTGCAAACAGGAAGACTTTGAGACAGAGAGTACAACCCACTCTCACGCAGTTTCTGTCATTCAGGACTCAGAGGAGTGACTTGGAACGCAACACTTACTGCATGAAAGGAGCTGCACCATGGGGGCGTGGCCCTTTCCTGGGCAGCATCCTGTGCCAACACCAGTCTTCACATGCATTTCATATTTGGCTACCCTGAAAGCAAATACTTGTTATGCAAACGCAGGAAAATGGTAAGTCCTGGGGCAGCTGCATCCTTGATTTGGATTTGTCACAAGTCCCAGAGTGCTTGATCAGCAACCTGATCAAGAATGACAGTATCATTCTCATTTCTTATCCTCTGGACATGCCTGGAAGCTCTGTTTTTCCATCCAAACTATCATGAGACTCCACTGTTGTTTAACATGAGATTTATGAGTCAAACATGCTGATTAACATAGGACAAAAACTACACTTCCCATTGTGCTGGTTTAAAAACCCAGCAGGAAAATTAACCCCACTCAAGTTGCCCACTCCCCTGATCCCTTACAACAACGGAGGAAACACTTGGAGGGGCCACAACTTGGAATCACAATTTTCCTGAAAAACTTGCCATAACCACATCAGTATCAATTAAAGAGGGAACAAAAGAGAGAGTGCTCTACTCACAAAAGCGTATCCACTGCCAAACAAACAAAAACACTTCCCATAGAGAGCACCCGCCGTCATTTTCTCAGACAAAGGCAAGATGGCACCTGACCCCCTCTCTGTCCACTGGACTGTGTGGCTCAGGAGAACAAAAGCAATGGGGCAAACAAGTTTCTGCAGGCCTGAAACAATAGAAAATGGGGGCAAAACAAGACCTGAGAAGCTATTTTGTCTGAATAAGGATTGATGCTGCTGAGCTGTTCACTCCACTCTGCTAGACCAGGTGATCAAAGCCCCATCCAACCCAGCTCTGAACACTTCCATGGATGAGGTACACACAACTTCTCTGGGAAACCTGCTCCAGTGCCTTACCATCCCTGCAGCAGAGAATTTCTTCCTAACATCTAATCTAAATTTGCCCTCTTTCAGTTTAAAGTGAGTACTCCTTGTCCTATCACTCCATGTCCTTGTAAAAAGTCCCTCTCCAGGTGTCTTGTAGTTTTGTTCAGGTACTGGAAGGGGCTCTAAGGTCTCCCCAGGGCCTTCTCTTCTCTAGGCTGAACAACCCCAACTCTCTCAGCCTGTCTTCATATGAGAGGTGCTCCACCTCCCCGATCACCTTGTTGGCCCTCCTCTGGACTTGTTCCAACAGGTCTATGCCTTCCTTGCACTAGGGACTCCAGAGTTGGATGCAGTACTCCAGGTGGTGTCTCATAAGAGTGAAGCAGAGGGGCAGAATCCCCTCCCTCAACCTGCTGGTCCCACTGCTTTTGATACACCCCAGGACATGATTGGCTTTCTGGGCTGCAACACATTGCCAGGTCATGTTGAGCTTCTTGTCGACCAACATCCTCAAGTCCTTCTCAGAAGGACTACTCTCAATTTATTCTCCATGTAGCCTGTATATGTGCTTAGAATTGTTCTTCAGGTGTTCTACATGATGATTACTCTACAGGACTAGATTTGAAGTAAACTTAGAAAACTTCTTAGCCCCCACCTTTTTTCTTATCACATGATCTGAAAGCTAACATCCTAGACTCTAGATCTGGGAGGACTGCTGCTCCCTGGCATTTATCCAGAGCAAGGTGTGGCTGCCTTGCAAAGGATTTTAACTCTCTCAACTGAAAGCAATTGTCACCATATAAGAGAATTTCCAATTCCTATGTAATCACAGTTTCTCCATTTCAGTTGTGTTAAGCATTTCAGTGTGGAGAGAGGGAATTAAGTGCACTCACTAGATCCAGAACAGACACAACTACAGATGATCTCTTTCAAGAGAGAGATAGGAGAAAACACAGCAGGGACAGAGAACACACATGGCTAACAAGAATTGAAGGAAGCTACAGAAGACTGATCTGTATGTCTCTCGTGTCAGTCAGGAGGAAACAACTACTGTTGGGCACACACAGAAGGAAGGGGAAGATCTTGGCTGCTAGCTGCCTTCCTTCTTAACATGGAAGTACAAATTCTCTATGACAGTGTCTCAGACAGATTCTTGATCCCTTGTCTTCCCTTCTGCCCCTTATACCTCTCACCTCCAGACAATTCCTACTCCCTGCAGAGCTGAGAAAATTGAGAGTAGGTATTGAAGCATACATTTATAAATCCTGCAAGATGCCTAACTCTATCACAGCCTTTTTTCTGTCTCTGGAAAAGGGACAAAAATGCTGTGGGAAGATAATCGGATTTCATTAAATACAGACTTGAGATTGTATCATCTGCTGTCCAGAAGCCATCACACACAAGCAAAAGAGATGTGCTACAAAAGAAGGAATACCCCTTGGTCCACTCAAGAAGAATATCTGTGAGACAGATGACCAGAGGGAGCTCTAAGGGTGAGTAAGGGAACAGATTTTGCGTGTCAAGTGGTCAGTCACTCCGGGTGAGCCTTCAAGGTCCCTGTAAACCCTGTGAGGATCTTCATGAGTCAAAACTACAGGATTGTGGAGAACCTGTGAGGACAAAAGACACAGGACAGCCAATGGGGTGGATCACGTGTTAAGAACACAGGCAGCCTAAGTGAGGGAGACACACAATTCCTAGGTACTTGGCTGTTCTTCTTAAATAGAGTGGACCCATGGGCTTTCCACTCTTTTCTCTATTTCAGATTTACAGTCCACCTGTCTTCTGCACAATAACCAAAACCCAAGTATGCTGCAAACCCTGCAGCTAGTAAGGAATTGATGGACTCTTTCTTCTTTATATGTTTTTTGACAAATTGAGCAAGGAGAGGAATGCTGACATTTGGCATTTGCCGAAGAGACAAAAATACTTATATTCATTATACCTATTCATCATCAACAAGGTTTTAAACTGAGAGAGGGTAAATTTAGATTGGCTATAATGAGGAAATTTTTTACAGGGACAGTAGGGAGACACTGGAATAGGTTGCACAGAGAAGCTGTGGATGCCCCACCAGTGAAAGTGTTCAAAGTCAGGTTGGATGGGGCTTTGAGTAACCTGGTTTAATAGAAGGTATCACTGCCCATGACAGGGGTTTGGACTAGGTGATCGTTGAAATCCCTTCCACCCAAAACATTCTGTGATTCTGTGACTTGTGTGCTGTGTAGCACAAATACAAATTTAACATACATAAAAACTGTGAGGATGCTTCAAAGTTCTATGGCACATTCTTATAAAGAAAAGCAGTGTCTACATTGCAAGACTAAGCGGGCTCTGCAGCTGGTCTAAGCACTCAAGCGAGAGCCTGGGCTGGTGTTGGGGCAGTAATGTGCTCAGTAGCCTGCACTGCTGGAGGACCAGGAACTTGGTCTTAGCCAGTGTGTGCTCCCATGCATACAGCATCCAGGGTAACTGTGAGGCTGGTCCATTTCTGAATGGGCTCAAACTTGTGTTTCCGTGGATGTGACAACTCCCAGAACCGAACATTCTTTGCCCTATACCTGTGAAAGTATAAGCACCCTGAAGTTACCACTGGGCTATGTTAGGTAAGCTAAAGCGGTAAGCCATGAGATGTAAAGATCAAGCAATGGGCAAAAAAGGTGGTGAGATAAAGCAAGAGATTCAGGTGCAACTGACTGCACACAAAAGAGAACACAACACTTGGACAACCAGCTTTCTTAAAAAGTGCTCAAAACCATGGCAAAAGAAGGCACCTAGTGCAGATCATAGAATCACAGAATATCTCAAGTTGGAAGGGGCCTGTAAGGATCATCAAGTCCAACTCCCTGCTTCTCACAGGACTGCCTAAAACTAAACAATATGAGTCAGAGCATTGCCCAGATGTTTCTTGTACTCTGACAGGCTTGGTGCCTGACCAAGCACTCTCTCTGTAAAGAACATTTTCCTAACATCCAATCTGAACTTCCCCTGACACAGCCAGAGAAGAGAGATGGAGGAGGTGCAGGCAGCCAAGCAGGAAAGCTTGAATGGAAAGACAAAATTAGAAAAAAAAACATTAAAAGAAAACCTTTCCAAGGTTACATAATAAAATTAAAAAAAATCAAAATCTAAATACATCCTAGGAAAATAGAGCCAAAGAAGTAGATTAGGTTGCAAATTAATGAGAACTCTAAAATTAGATCAAGAAAGAAATTAACAAAGAAAATTACTGTATTTATTTTTTTTTACAATTACAATCCTAAGAGTTATTAGAAAAGAGATTGAAAATTGATAAAACCTTAAAAAGAATATCTTTTAGTAAAAGTACAGGAGAATCAGTCAGGCAATTGCTATCCATAATTACTGTTATTGGTGTTATTTTCATATGGCACTTCACAGCAATAGATGACAAAATATTACAGTTTCTAAGCCTGGTGAAATGTTGCTGTGCTTTAAGGAATAAAAAGCAAATATGAATTGCCCGTCCTTTCTGGTAGTGTTAACACACACATTAGGGTAGACTCATTGGCTAACAGGATGCAAAGAAATATAAAATCAGAATGTCTATACATACATTTGTCTAGTAATCTTGATTGCTTTTAAGGCAAGGAAAGAACAAAATGAAAGCAGCTGATGAAACTTGACTAGGTATTTTAAAATAATTTTGCATCTGGAAAGGTAAATAACATCTTAATTAAAATTAATTTTATTAATTTTCTATGAATTGAAATTAGGCTGATGAGCTATGAACAGTAAAGACAGGAATATGCTGAATCAGAAGAGATGTCTATACAAAAAAATTGCTGTTTAGTCTTTTTGAAAATCTACATCTGTGATCAACAAAGGACAGTGTATATATCACATAAATGAAATTACTAAAAAATAGAAGGGAATGTACAGAAGCAAAGGAGAAGAAATCATAACCATACCAGGAAATAATTTTTTAAAAATTAAACCTTGCCTATCTGCAAATCCTACGGCCCATAGTTTTAGAAAAATGTTGACATCTGTTGGTGAACAAGGAGCAGAGCAGCTCAGAAATCCCAGGGAACTGCAGGTACAGAGAGCCCTTTTCCAATCCAGTGCTGGAGGGTTGAGTCTCATGCATGCCTGCTATACTACAACTCAGGTCACGCCCCTTTAAATGTTGCTTGGTTTTAACGCAGGGAATGAGTGTATCGCTATGTTTTCATTTGAAAAGGAACAGAAAAGAGGTCTGATGCTCCTTGCATGTGGGTCATGACAATCTACTACAGTCTGTAATGATGTGGTAAAGGATAAGGAAAACCAACAACTTTATCCCTTCTAAACTAAAAGGACAGGAATTGATTTGCTTTACACTGCTGGGGAGCAAGGGAAAGCAGGGATACTGGGACAGCTCAGCGAAGCTGAGAATGAAAAACAGGCAGGGTATAATGCAGGTGGTACGCAGCAGGTGACATTCTTAATAGCCTGTCACAGGCATGTCACACGAAATAACGGGATAGGGTTAGACTGATGAAGGTTTGTGCCCTACTGTGGACTTCAAGGATAGAATTACTCCTTGCAACAAAAAAGTGCAATTCTATATACTGAGCATATTTCCTCCTTATCACTGTTATATTTTATAATGCAACAAGTAGAAGTAACTAGAAGCTATCCCTGATGTCTTAAATCATATTCTTTTCCAACTCAGCATAAGTGTGACACATCAACATCTTGGGTTTCTTTTGGATTCTGAGACTAACCAAACAATATCTCAGAAGAAACATATGCTTAAAAAAACTAACCTAAAAAACCTGACAATTTTACTTAGCTCTTCATTATTGCAGCTAGATAGATATTTACAATCGACCAAAGTTTTAAAGCCTTATTTCAAATAATATGGGTGCACAAATTATTGCCCTCGTTCATGTCCTGTGAGCTCTCCTTTTGGTACTAGTTTCCCCAGGAATGTCTTCACCACACTCAAGCCACTCAGGGTTGAATTTTGTCTTCCCTTACAGTTGGCATCAGGAGTGTCCCTGTTGATGGCTGGGCTGTCAGTCCATCTGCAAGCTGGTGGTGAGTCCAAGTCGATACAGTGTGTGGCTTCTGTCTTTATTCCTTTCTTACACCCTGTGCTCAGCCCTTCCAAGCCAATCAAGGGTGAAAACAGTGCTCATGATGAGCTTGGGTTCAGTTCCTGTTCCAATCACAAATTAATAGCCAGGGTCATTCCTTTTTTGGTTATTCTGTTTGCTGTTATCTCATAATGCCATCTTTGAGCTTGTGCAGACATGCACTCCTCACTCCTTTTCCTAGTTCCAGTGAGTCTGCATTGCCAGCATGATCAACACAGCTGGGCAAGTGAACTTGAGGCCACAGCCTGTCCTGGTGGGGCTTCAGTCAACCCACACAGTGCAGTGACTCGAGCCATGACATACTTGGGAAGTCGACCATTTGATAGCAACCCAAAGATCCTCCTTTCTTGATGGGCTATAGGCCACCTTGAGTCCTGCCCTTGCCTGTGTAGGACCTGCCAACAAAGTTCCAGCTGAGCTGTGTTGCTCCATGCCATCTTTTATGTTTTATGTCCAAACCTTGTTATCTCTAGCTAGTCTTTGAATAAGCCTATTCATAATTCTAGCATGTTGCTGACCAGGTTTAGATTGGCTCTGTGTTTTGGGAGGCTGTATCAGATTCTTGCTGCAATTAGATATTTTTCAGGACATTTTACTGCCTGGGCTAGTCTTTGCTGTTTGAGGCAATCATCTCACTTGTCTTCCACTCTGCCTGAAAGCTATTGCCAGATTTTTCATTTTCACTTCACCTGAGCATACCCATCAAGCTCTGAAATCTTTTCTTTGTATTCTCCCATCTTGCTTAGTGACTGTCTTTAGTTTCAAAATTGTCTCTACAATGTATCTTCTGAGAACAGGCCTGACACAAAACTCCTTTATAATGCCTTAAAGACGTCTCCTCTTTTAAGCTGCCTTCCCTCCATCCATACCCTAACAAAAGCATTATGACATTGACATAATCTAAAATACTCACTGTCTTTTTGCTACTCTCTCTGTCCCCTGATCCATAAAACTCTGCCCATACAGCCCTTAAGGAAGGCCTTAAACAGTATCTGTGTAGTCTTAGATAGTTACTAAGGGACATAGCTTGCAGTACCTGCTTTAAATTACTTATGTAAGAGCTTGCACTGCTATGCCAAAAACAGGGAGATGGCTGACAATATGACACATATAACATCTGCAAGCGATCTCCACTAAGAGGTATCCTTTCCTTTCTACTATTTATCACTTTCCTAAACTTGATTCTAGCATGTTTGGCAGTTGTAGATAATTTGGCATCATTTCTACATACTGCAATTATCAAAAGCTGGATTATGACATATACAATATGTGGCTGAAAAAGTATCAGAAACTTCAAACAGAAACTTCATTGCCAAACATGAGGCAGGTGATCTGCAAAAATTTATATTAAACCAACTATAGTTGATCTATTATTAGAAAATTTAGATGAAAAGAGAGAGGTCAGACCTGATGAACTGGGATTGTAGAGAACTTGTGTGTTAGTACTGACTGGAGAATGTAAATTCAGTGCCATACAGACTCATTAGATGAAGAAGTATCTCCTATATTTTTGCTGTGCCTCCCCTAACAAGACCTGCTAGACCTGCTGGACCAGAACCAGCTTAGATGCTTCTCTCTGTGTTCCTCAGTGTATCGGGGTCTAGAGTCCATGTACAGAACCTCCTACAGATCTAATCTGCAATCAAATAACTCATCCATGTTAAATTGCAAACTGAAAGCAGCTAGAAGCTTCTAGACCAAATGCACACAGAAACCACAATTCTCTCCTTCTCCACCTTCCCCCTGCTTACTCAGTTTGAAAGTGCACTGAAGTGTATGTTTGCTTGGGGTTGAAAAGCAGGCTCCTCCTCAGGGGAAACTTGTAGATTTTGCAGTTTATACCCACTTGCTGAAGTAACTACAGGTTCTTTATTTAGGCTCTATTGCTACTACTTTCCTTCGGCATCAGCAGAGCCCACCTAAGGGTGCTGGAGTTTTTGTGCACCATGCACAGATACAGCTTTATACTGGCACAGAACAACTCCAGGTTGCGTGCAGCATCAGGACTCACAGAGCAAGCTCACACACTGCCAAACTTTCTGCAGCCTTTCCAGGCATCCCTTCTGAACTTAGAGGTCTGCACTGTATGGGCCGGTGCTGCGAGGGAAAAGTAACTCCGGAACACTGCACACCTGCCTGCGAACCCCCTTCCTTTCACCCTCAGTGCCCGGTTTTGTTAATGAAGGCTCAAACATCACGCTGAAGATGCAAAGGCAGAACGCGCACAAGAAGCAGGCGGCTGTCCATCCCTCCGCCGCTCAGCGAGTATGTGCGGTACAGGCGCGGTTCCGCAGCCCCGGCGCTTTTTTGGAGCCGGCGGCGCGGAGGAGCGTCTGCAGCAGGTTGGCAGGCGGGGCTGCGGTGCCACCGCACCCGCCCAGAGCCCAGCACCCAGGGGGAAAGCGGAGGGAGAGAGTGGAAAGTTCAAGAAGAGCCGGGAAAGGTGCCACCCTATGCGGGGGGCGGGCAAAGCTGAACGGGGCGGCCGGTATTAATAGCTTGCAGTGGAAGGTTGAATCCATTTAACGCTCTTGCTTTAGTTATTTATGCCCAAGATCATGGACAAGGTTCTAGTCTGATTTTAGATCATTGGATGTTGCAAATGATTTGGCCAAAAGCACCGTACCACCGTTTTTATTTATGCATCCCCAAATATTCCACCGGCAGGTTGAGGAACAAAACGGTGCTGACTTTATCCAGACGGATACAGATGGGCCAAACACTGAGGTTACACTCTGTGCTTTAAGCACGTCTTCACCTTCCCTGGTCCTGGGAAACAAATCGTTTTCAAGTACATGGGTCCTAACGTGATCCCCAGCCCTGCAAGCGAAGGGATGTCTGAGCTCGTTGCCGGCACAGTGCTTCCGTGCCCGCTTGTACAACCTTTCCTGTGACCGTCCAAGACCGCGTGGCGGGTGAAAAGAATACAAGCCCACGCACCTGCACAGGGCTGCTCATACCGAAGGGGGACGAGGGGGGCTGCCACTACTGAGAGGGCAGGAGGGTTACTTTCACTCTAGGCGCAGCTTCCAGCAGAACCTGTCCAAGGCAGGGCAGGGCGCAGCAGCTCCTCCTCGCTGCCGGGCCAGGCACCCCTGCAACACCTGCGAGCCGTGGGCGCTCCTGCTCCGCAAGCCCAGCGCCGTAAAAGCGCGCCCTTCCTCCTGTCATGAATAATCTATTCCTCTTCCTCCTCCTCTTCTTCTCCGTAGCCCCAGCCGCCCTAGACGTGTAACGCGGCCAGGCGGCTGCCTTACCCCCGCCCCGCCGGCGATGGCCTCTCCGCCCCCGGGGGCGACGCACACCTTCACCCCGGCCCCTGGCTCAACCAGGCGCTTTGCGGCAGCCCGGCGGCTGCTCTAGAAACTTCTCGGTCCCTCCCTCTCCCCTCCCCTTCCTCCTCCTCCTCCTCCTCCCCGCCGACCGGGGGCCGGCGCTGCGGCGAGAGCAGCAGGGAAGGAGGCGTGTGGCGCCCGCCCTCGCCCGCGGTGCCCAGAGCCGGAGGTGCAGCGAGGCGCTCCCCCAGCCCCATTCCCGGTGCCCAGTCCAGCACCGACCCCGCGAGGCGGCCCTTCCCTGCGCAGCGGTGGCAGCGGCGGGCGGGATGACGGCGGAGGAGATGAAAGCGGACGGGGCTCCCCTGGAAGGGACAGACATCACCCCCAAGCAGGATGAGGGCGTCCTCAAGGTACCAGGCGGCTGTTCCCCATCTTCACCCCCCGCGCTGGCTCGCGGTGGTCCCTGCGCCGGCGGGGAGAGGAGGCGTTTCTCTTGGCCTGCGAGCGGGTGCTCCCCGGGCGCCCTGGCCGCGCCAGGCCCGTTATGTCGCCCGCGGAGAAGGGGACGAGGCGGTCCCCGGGCAGCCCGGCCGGGTTGGCGCAGCGCGGGCGATTAAACATCGGCGGCGGCGAGCGGGGAGGGCGGGAGCGCGCCCCGGCTGCGCAAGCGCTGCCCGTCCGCCCGCGGGGGCTCCCACGCGGCGGCTCCCCTCTCCTCCCGGCTCCAACTTCCCCGGCCCGGGCGAGCCGGAGCCCCGGCTGCCCGCCGGGAAAGCCCGGGGTAGAGGGGGGGACGGACACGACTGTGCAGGGGAGAGGCGCTTTCCTGCTTTATTCGAGCTATTCCCCGGGTCTGCGGGGTGTGATTAAGGATGGGAGGGCCGGGCCGGGCTCACTGCCCGGCTCGCATGGCAGGGCTATGCCCGCACGGCAGGTTTTGGGGGTCCGGGTCCGCCCCCCGCCAGCACGTGTTTGGGGCTGGGAATTAAAGATGGAGCCCGGGCCGGGCACGTGGACTCAGTGCAGGTCCCCGCCGGTGCCCGGCCGTGCCGCCCTCAGCTCTTTGAGCTCCGGGCACGGCGCTCTCCGTCGGGGCACGGCCGCCCCCCAGGCCCGGGGGTGCGCGGTGCGGGCGGGCACGGCGGCAGCAGCGGAGCGGGGCGGCCGCCCCTCGGTGCCGCTGCCCCGCGGTGCCGCTTGGCGGGCGGCCGGGCAGGTCTCCGGCGGTGCCGCGCATTCCGGCGGAGCGGCTGCTCCCCTTTGTAAACTGGGAAGCCAGGCGATAAGGGCAGCAGAATTTATACCGTGAGGGGGAGTTGCGCGAACTTCCTCTGTCAGACGTCGCCTCTTTCCATATCTCTAGAAACTTCCTCAGTCTCTGCTAAAACCTGTAACGATCCTTAGTAGCGTTATTCGATCGCAGTAAAATTTCAGTATTCAGAAGAAAAAAGTGACGCCACAGGAAAGGCAAAATTCTGGTCTTAACCTTTAGAGCCCTCTGGCTTTAAATTTTAGGTTCGTCATAGAGGTGCCGTCTTCCATTCAGGAGGGGTAGCTGAGACCAGACTAGATTTTGTCTTCTATACTCTTTCCCATCTTTCCTGCTAGCATGCTTTGGTGAGAATTTCTGTTTTTTGCACATAGCACAATAATCAGGTCAGAGTTCTCGTCTGCACGGTTGCCCAGAAGGTGCCGGTGGGTCTCCCACAGCTCCGGTCCCTTGAGCACGGTGGAAGGCAGTGATCGTCTGCCTAATCCATGCAGTACCTACTTTAGATGATGAAGCAGCAGGTGTTTGGGGGGCGTCTTTGGTTTTTGCCTTTTTTTTTTTTTACTTCAAATTTTTTTAAGGAGGGGAGTAAAAAATACTAGCAAAATAACTGAGGTGGTGAAAACCACAGAGAAGGTGAGATGGTGAATTGATAAGCAAAATACTGTAGAGGTCGTGAACTCCAGCCTTCATGGATTTTATTTTGCTAGTAATTTTTGGAGTGCCGAATGCTCCCATTGAAACTAGGGGTCTAGCTCTGAACAAACCTACACCAATTTTGTACTGCTATCATTGCACTGATTGCAGGAGTGTGCTTATTTGTTCATTAGCTTTGTATCAGAATACTATCCACAGGTTTTTACCCGATACTGCTGAATGTGCTTGCACTATTTCTAGTGTAAGTATTTAGTTTAGAAATAAACTATTTGAAATCCACAATATGAACTGGAAAATCCTGTTTCTCCATATGAAAGGGAAATGTAAACCTTACCGAAAATAGGGTTACCATATTGAGTCTATGAAAAAAGTGAAACTTGAGTCTCCTCAAAATGCAATAATTGTAAAAGAATAATACTGTATAAATAATGAAAAAGAGGTATTCACTACTATGGGGTACCGTGGTATGACACTGCAAGAATATGGTATTGGGAAAAGCTTAGTAAATTTGCGTTAAATGTAGTTACTTTTTCAAAAGCCTTTCAGACTGGCTCCCTTAAAATAAGTAGTTTGGATCCACTTTGTATATATATATAAGCATTACATAGATTAGGTTGATTACCAGATTCATAGGGTTTTTTTCATAGGTCTCTGCTTATCTCTCTGAGTGGTTTCTTGAACTGTCGACTTCCTTGGAAGAGATACCAACAGATTAGTTTTGTCATGCTAATAGCTGCTGTAGCATGATGCAGTGCAGAGTAAAGGGATGGTGTGCTGTGTGAGGTCAGGCATCCTTTTTCACACTGAGCATTCTCACCTTAGGAAACAGCAGGTAGTATTTTTTTTTTCTGGATTTTCTTCATTTGTGGATTTTTTTCTTTGTTTTATGAATCCAGTGAGGTGCTTTCAGCTTGTTAAGAGTCTGACAGAAACTGCCGACATTGCCTTGGCTTTGGATGGAGAGTACTGGCATTTCAGTTGTATAGTTGCAGGGATGGTGGGAGGCAAAGTAGGAGTTTGACAGTGGTGGGTTGTAAGAAGTTAAAATTTGTGAAGGAGACTCCCATGGGTCTGCTTCCTTCAATGAAAAATGTAATTGGTGTAGAAATATGACACTTGTATAGCTTTTCTTTAAAGAAGAGATGCCAATCCATACTTTTGAGTAAGTGGCCTTGAATAAATGTTTATCTTGTATGAACAGTATGTTTTCCAGGTCTCCACGATCCAAGCAAATAGGGTCCTCCATTTTTGCCTAGCTGAAGGAATGCACAACTTTGACTCAGAGCTAGATGGTTTCAATTGGTATTGGAGAAAATTGAAATCTGAACTTCAGGAATCCTGTTATGGGCAAGGCTTCGCTTCCTTGCCTATGAGATATGTCATTACTATTCTCTATTTTTGTGTGAATTTCAAATGAACATCAGAGAGGTTGGCCAATCTTGCTTTTTGGATAGTGTAAATGTAGTTGATACTGGTCCTGCTAGGCGTGCTGGGGAACCTCTTGAGAAGAAGATCAGATCCTTGCCAGCTGTATGTGAGATGTGCTGGCAATCCATGTCAGATTTGCAGGGAGACAAAATTAATGCAATATAATAATTTTTAAGTACTACTCTGTAAGCTGATAAAACTAACCTGCTATGTGGTGAGATTCTGTTAACCTTTGTTAAACTGCCTGGTTTAACTCAAGTAATCTGAGATTACATGTTAGTATAGATTTTGTATGGAAACAGCCACCTTGTTTTCTTGTGTAAATGCTCTGCCTAGAACACTGAAGTGGGGTGTTATGATAGAAAGGTGGTGAGGCAAATACTTGAATCAAGCAAAAACCCCCTGCCTAATACTTTACCAGTTTGAGTTTCAAGAACATTTAAAATCTAATTGAGCAAAGGTAAGTGACATGGCTAACTATAGATGCAGAGATCTGTAAGCTGGTGCCAACTGTTGCCAATTAAGTTCTCGTATCACAGCACAGCCATCTTGAGGTTCTGCATTTGCAGCACTGCTAATCTGCAGACAGAATAATCAATCCATTTCCAGATAACTGAAATAAACCTCCAAATCCTTTATCTACTGAAGACGATAATGCATGCATCTAGGTAAATGGACTTAATGTCCAATAGGCAGACTTAGTTTCCATGATCTTAATGCTGTTTTCTTAATGTTTTTCTCAGGTTGTTAAGAGAGAAGGCAGTGGGACAGAATCTCCAATGATAGGTGATAAAGTGACTGTCCATTACACAGGATGGCTTCTTGATGGCACAAAATTTGACTCCAGTCTGGACAGGAGAGACAAGTTTTCATTTGACTTGGGGAAAGGTAATACCTTGTGTTTGGTATTGATCACTTTTGCTAATAATTGAGGTAGGATTTCATGGCATGTGAGCCTCCTTTACCTTTTGAAGTTACTACTTAATCTTGTTTTCAGGTTTTGTTCTCTCAGAATGGCCCAGTCAGAATGTCTTTGAGATTTTTCTGAATGAGAAAACTGTGTAGCCCCTTGAGGCCTGATGAAGGATTCACAGGCCTCAGACAAAGCACCCCAGGGGGGCAAATCTGCCCTGAAGTGTAGTGACAAAGGGTAGTTAAATATGCCAGAGTATGCATTTTGTTGGTTGTTTTTTTGTTGATTTTTTTGGTTTGGCAGACTCCAGTCCAAGGGTATTTAATTGTGACCAGATACTGGGACAGGGTGCACAGAAGCAGCTGTCAGCTGCTGCATGATGAAATATACTCCCTTTTCCACAAAATTCCCAAATTAACCCAAATATGAGTCTTTGAGCAGTGCAACTCTTCATTATCAAAATCCTTTATTTTTGAATGCAAAAATCCAAGCATCCTTGTTCCAGCAAATCTTATTCCTCCATATTACATTTTCCCTGCTGCTTTTAAATAAATGGATACTATCTCTTTTCTTAAAAAAGAGATTAATTCATTGTACTGAAATTTGAGATATTAAGTGTACCTATTAATACAGGATTAACAGCCTGCTTGATCGAGTTGAAAGGAGCAGCAAGTAGGAGAGCTTGAAAAAGAGGATTTTGTTACAACTTCTGTTCCTTTTTGGCTTCGGAAGGAATACTATTTCTATTTTCCTCCCCCTTTTTGTTACAAATGTTTGTAACTTTTAGTTACCGCTAGTGCTGCTCTTTGCCAACTGATAAAGTACAGAGAGAAAAGGCTGTTGGTTTGGATTGTTTTCAAAACACGAGCAGGCAATCTCTCACCCCTGAGACCTTCCTCTCTGAAGAGTTTATTGTTACTTCCTCACACTTGAGACTGTGCCAAGCACTTCAGCCTGTGCCTGTGTTCAGATGACTTGTATTCTCTCTAAGGAAGGAAACACAGGGTCTCTGCCCCTGGCAGGGTTGGAACTAGATGACCTTTCAGGTCCCTTCCAATCCAACCCGTTTTATGATTCTATGAAAAGAGTTGCTACACCTGGAATGAAGAAAGATAGCGAAATTTGGGTCCCAGGAAACTTTAGAATTTGATTAGGCTTAAAACTGATGTAGGTAGATGAGAGTGAGCACAAGTCCTTCAGTGTTTCTGCTGTCTTAGGTTCTGTACACTAAAAGTGATGATCCTGAGTTTCAGCTGATCGTGCTTTTCTTGTATGCCTTGCAATCATGTGATTGACATTTGACTTGTATAGGTGAGGTGATCAAAGCATGGGACATTGCTGTGGCGACTATGAAGATTGGTGAAATCTGCCGGATTACATGTAAACCAGAATATGCCTATGGCTCAGCTGGGAGCCCCCCAAAGATACCTCCCAATGCTACACTGATTTTTGAGGTAAGTGAGAGACGGTCATTAAAACCGTACACTTGAAAAACAAGCAAAAGTCATATTTTACAGTAGAAAATGTGTGATGCAATATGCTTTCAAAACTGGGTTTTGAAAGGATTGTTAGGTTTTCTAAAGAAAACAATATGGTCGATTTTGGGTAGTGTGGGCAAAGTTTTAGTCTGGCTGCTACTGATCTGCAAGAGCTTCGGTTCCTTTTTTTTTGGCATTTTTAAAATACTTGAATGGTTTCCAATGTTCAGTTTTAATATTAGTTATGGAATGATTTGCAGTAGGAAAGAGCAGGCTGGGAGGGCGGATGGACTCTGAAGTAGTTGAGAAAATGAAATGGAGCCAGTTATTTCTCTTAACCTCACCAGGAGAGGAGAGAATTTGTCTCCTGCTGATCTTTAAGTCACTCCCCCAAACCTCTTCCCAAAAGAGTGTGGAAATAGCAGCTGTCTCTTGTGTGTTATTTCAACAGCAAGAATGGTTGCTCAGAATGCTGAGACTTGTGTTTGATTTTTTCCATGGAGAATGATACTAAAGCTGTTTCTGAAGCATGCTCTGACAGTCTCAACAGAGAGGATATATTTTTCCTACTGTTGAAACAGTTCAATTTTCCAACAATTACTTTAAAATAAATTCTACCTGAAAGAAGGCAGATTCTTTTTAAGTGGGATTTTTAAAATTACTTTACTCTAAAATACTTAATCAATTGAATGGACTCCTGTGTTGGGGGCATACAGAAAGTTTTAAAACTCGATGATTGCTCAAAGATTGAATGTTTTATCTAATATCTGAGAAAGGTAAAAATAGCTCATGGAGTATTTAGATTTTATTGGAAACAATTAGCATCTGTTAAGAAGGGTAAATTATGCATAGAATCATAGAATTATTTAGGCTGGAAAAGACCTTTAAGACCATCTAGTCCAGTTTAAACCTAAAACTGCCAAGTCCATCACTAAACCATGTCCCCAAGTACCACATCTACACCTAAATACCTTCAAGGAAGGTGTCTCAACCACTTCCCTGGGCAGCCTGTTCTAATGCAAATATCCAATCCAAACCTCCCCTGATGCACCTTGAGGCCATTTCCTCTTGTCCTGGGACTTGTTACTTGGGAGAAGAGTCTGACCCCACCTCACTACAACCTCCTTTCAGGTGGTTGGAGAGTGCTAGAAGGTACCCCTTGAGCCTCCTTTTCTCCAGGCTGAACCCACCTGCAGTTCCTCAGCTGTTCCTTATAGAACTTACTCTCTAGACCCTTCACCAGCTTCGTTGCCCTTCTCTGGACATGCTCCAGCACCTCAATGTCTTTCTTGCAATGGGGGGCCCAAAACTGGACACAGGATTTGAAGTGTGGCCTCAGCAATGCCCAGTACAGGTGGACGATCACTGCCCTGGTCCTGCTGGCCACACTGTTTCTGATACAAGCCAGGATGCCATTGACCTTCACATAGTTGGATATTGTATTTGTATTGCATTTGGACAGTCTATTGGCATTTCTTTTTTTTTTTCCCATGGACTAGTGAGTAATAGGATTAAAGACGTATTTTGTGCAGAAGGATTAAAAAAATAGTGCTAGTATAGGTACTGTCACTAAGGATGACAACTTACTCATTTTAAGTACATCAAAATTAATGCCATTATTTCTGTAGTTGGCTGTTGAAAAATAGTATCTTGTAAAGCTATTGGTAAACAGTATTTTCTTATGTATAAATCTTAAGTTTCTCATGGCTTACTTATTGGATCAAACTACAGGTTGGAGTGCTGTGTGCTTCACATGTATGCTAGTGATACTAAGTGTAATCAGGACAGGATATAAGGGGGAGAGAAAAAACACTGAGCTGATGATTCAAATACAAGCTAAAAGCTCAAGACCTTGTACCTTTGCAGCACAATGGAGCATTCTTAAAGGCTTAGGACGAGTACACAGGATGTGCATGGACAGTACAAAGCAGAGAAGCTTTCACTGCCCTGCAATGAGATAATACCCAGTGTTTTGATAAATAAAAGTATGAATCAAAGCAAGACAGGATTTGGTCCATGAGACTATTACTGAGTCTATCTGAAGTAGTCATCCAGGTTATTCACTTCCCACTGGGTTTTTCTTAATGATGCCAGTCTGACCTCTCCATCATTTTCTGGGTAAGCAGTGTTTCATTCATGATCCTTAATATCCCCTAATGCCTTCCTAAGCAGTAATGTTAAAGGAATAAAGGGAGAAAGAAAGAAAAGCACTGAAGCTGCCTATGATGGTTTTGTGCTTCCCTAATAAAACAGCCTGGAGCTGACTGGCTGCAACAAATATGTAGTGCTGTGTGTGTCCTGATCGGGGGTGTGGCTTGGAACTTAGATCTAGAAAGTTTTTCTAAGTGTTATTAGGTAAAAGTAATTTCTGACTAGTATGACTCTCAGGCACTTAGTCTTTTAAGTTTCCACTTTTTTAGTTTTGCTTCTATGTTTCCTTTTTATTATTTGAAACAATGTCAGCATGGGTCCTTTGTAATTGCTTAACACCATACCAAAATTTTGTACAAGTTGCCTTAAAAAGCACCCTCTAAAACTTAAATGAAAAGATTTTGTGTGTCATCTCATCAGCATTTCTTTATGACCTGAAATAATGGACATCCTATGATTTGGGTTTTTTTTTGATCTGGTGGTGGTTTGTTGTTTTGGTTTTGTTTTTTTTTTTTTATTTCCTCATGATTGTTTTTGCAGAACAGTATAAATAGGTAGATTATTCCATAGAATACTGGTGTTCAGTTTTGGGAGAAACAAAAGGGACACATATACCTGTATGGCCATCAGTAGAATGTTCAGGAATGACTTAACATTTTTCAGACAGACTGAAGAGAAAGACCAGAATATTATTCATTACTAGGTGTCCATCAAATAAAAAGTGGAAGTACTCTTTGTGTTGGTGGATATTCAATTCCTTTTACATTCCAGGTATCTTAAGTCCGGTGTGAGGAACCTTCACAGCATTAGCCCTGAACTTTTTTTTTTTTTTTAAATGAGGTAGTCTAAACAATTCTGATTATAATGGCTTGCTCTTTTGTGCTGTTTTTACTATTGTTTTACTCAAACATGGAATACAAAATATCTTTTAATTCATTTCATAGCAACAACAAATATGTTTTGTAACTAGACTATTTTTCCATCTCATCATGGCACTCCCACATGAAACTATGATTTACATTAGAGACTTGGGAGGGCATGTGAAGATTCAGACTGGATAGCTATTTCCTACATTAACACTAGCTCTTAAAAATTCTAAACAATTTATTGCAGCAGGGAGTTTAGATTAAAGGTGGGTCAGATTATGGTTTTTTGTTTTATCCTTCTTCTGGAAGTATTTTTTTTTCTGAAATGATCCCACAATACAAAATGGTACAAGACTAGAAGGGAAAATGTAACAAGTAAAAAGATAACTCTGGCTCTGTTCAGGCGTGCAAGGGAGAATGCACAGAAGTTTTGAAACTACTGTCCTGTGGCACAAGAGTAGGAGGATGAAGAAATGGGTAGGGAATGGCTGAAGTTGGAAAATATATTCTTGAATTTGTTTTAATGTTTCAGAACAAGCATTTGGAATCAGTTAAAGCTCCATTCCAAGCACTTTAAAGTTGATCTCAATTTGACCATTGATGACATTAAGGGTATATTCATGAATTAAGGATAAGAATTACATCTTCGTTTTATTGTCCTGCTCCTTTTGTCCTTGCCTTACTTAAAAACCTTGGCCCATGGATGCAGTGACACTACTGGTGGTTCTACTTGACTGTAGAGTAAGAAGGTGGAACGGCTGATCAGTGTGGTAGCACTGCAGAGTGGCAAGTGAGAGTAAATTCCTCCTGCCTTAATGTGTTCAAAAGGTATTTTCCCTCATATTAGAAAAAAATCAAACCTCAACCAAAACCAACTATCCATAGTTTTGCTTACAGACATTGGCAAAAATAGTATTAAAGAAGCCAATAGAATCTTTTTTTTTAAAGTAAACTCTAAGCATTGTGGCTCATATAAGCTTTATTCAGAAGCCAGGTTTACAGTCCTTTAATTTAAAGGATCTAATTTTTAGTATTGGGAGACCAAGATTGGTGGAGAAAAAATAGCTGAAAAGGCCTGAATATAACCTGAAAGTTGAAATTCTTCAATAGGTTTCCATCTAGGATCTACTGGTTTCCATCCAATATCATCTTCAGAGCCTTGGCTATCCCATATCTTACAGGACATTAACTAAGATAGTGACTTCCTGCATAGCTGTAGTTTCAAAGATCACTGTAGAACAAATTCTGTGGGTTACTGTATTGGTGTAGTGAGAATAAATGCAAGATGTTTCTTCCCTCCACAGATAGAACTTTTTGAGTTCAAGGGGGAGGACCTCACTGATGAAGAAGATGGTGGCATCATCCGGAGGATCCGTAAAAAAGGGGAGGGCTACTCCAAGCCCAATGAGGATGCACTCGTAGAGAGTAAGTTTGTTGTTACACAAATAGTAAATGGGTTTACCATGTGGGATGGCAAAACCTGTTTCACAATCTACAACTCCTTGCCCTGAGAGAGAGGAATACATGGCTTTTCTTTCTTTTATCAAGTAACTTAACAACCTAGAGTAAGATTTCATTCTCTTATTTCTAGCAAGGTTTACATTTTCCAGCAGCAACTGTGTTCTTCCAGTGATACTGAATCTGTTAAAGTGCTTATCTGATCACAGAAGATTGATGAGTCTACTAAAGTATTTCCATTTGCTGAGGAACAAGAGGGGGATCATTCTGGGACCTGTTGTTGGAGTGGAAAAAACAAACAGATGAACAGAAAAAAGGGATTATTAAATTTAACAGCAGAAGTTCTGTTTCCTGCCAGTAGCCACCATGCATAGATAGCTGTTAAAAATCACTGTTTAGAAGGAGGCTTTGGCACTTTGTATGTTCTGCCTGCCTATATAGAACTCCCAGTGTACTCCTGTGCTACCTCTCCCATTACCATATATATATATACACATATATATATGTGTGTGCGTATATATATGTATATGTATATATTCTGATTTCAATCTGTGTTGTTCTATTTTTTTGTTACTAGTCCAGTTTGAAGGCCGATACGGAGATCGTGTTTTTGACAAGCGGGAATTGCGGTTTGAGATTGGGGAAGGTGAAAACTTTGATCTTCCTCACGGTCTGGAGAAAGCAATTCAAAAAATGGAGAAATCGGAGGAATCCGTGTTCTATCTTAAACCCAGGTACACTTTCCCTGATCTTTTGATACTTGAAGGGCCTATACTAAGAATCTGGCAAGAATTAAGTGCTTTGTTATAACACTTTTCAGTTTTTTCAGTGCTGTGGTAAAAACTGGTGTATGAGAAGTATCAAGCTAAGATTGCTTTGCCACTTCATAATGAAGTAGTAGCACTACAAAAGAAATAAGATTTACTTAAATCTCTATAGTGTTGATCTCTGTGAATATTTAAAAAAATATTGTTGCTCTATAACTTAGATTTTTGCGGTCCCTCTTTGTTAGTACTTACTGTATAACAGTGCATATATAGTCCTAGACATAAGCAGAATTTTCTCATTACAGTGAGAACACATCTGAAATGGATTTGCACAGATTGTTTTCATCAAATGTTAATTTTAATTTCAGTATTTATTAAGTTTTTTAAACTTGAACTGAACCTGATAAGAGCAGAAAAGCAAAGCAATCTTATCTTGAGGGTTTTCTGCTAATATGCAGCTTCTTACTGGAGTTGCTTCACAGAACCTTTCTGTAGGCATTCCCTGTTTATCAGTTCATTAGCAGTGTGTTAAGTGTACATCTGTTCACTTAATCTTAGTATTCATTGTCTTTGCTTTTCTAAGAATAGTACTAAAATACAGGTGCTCTGAAGGAAACGCTCAGTTTCAGACCGTGAATATAAAGCAAAATGCATATAACTTGAAAGCTGGTTGTTTTGTTTGGGTTTTTTCTTTATTGGAGAGATAACTTGCTTTTCCTTCACCTAAGCTAAAAAAAAAAAAAACATAATAGGAACTGGTAAGAGCTAAATGAAATCAATGCTAGGTTTCTCTTGCTTTCTTCTACCTTGTGCTTGCTAATTTTAGAATCGTACCTAGAATTCTTGAAGTCTTTGTCTTGTAATAATGATGTGTGGGCATCCCAGATTTGCATGGAGTTTTGTCTTCATCTTCCTATGTAGAAAATACAGCTGGATGGACAGTTCTGAACTGTTGTCTTTGTTTGTTTCTCCCTCCCCACCCCACACCCATCTTATAGCTACGGCTTTGGAAGCACTGGGAATGAGAAATTTCAGATCCCTCCAGATGCAGAGCTGCAGTATGAAGTGAAACTCAAAAGCTTTGAAAAGGTAGGAACAAGAGATGAAACCCCAAAGAGATCCTGGATGTGGAGGGAGGAGTGCGAGTGCAGCTTAAACAAGGACAGTGGAATCCTTGAATGGTGATCTGAAATAAGGAGGCTACTGTTGCCAGAGACGATGACACACTGGAGCTCTTGGCTGAAATGGCCCTTATTCTTATTGGTTCCCTGTCCGTCGCCGTCTCTCGCGCTCTAGGCTGGTTTCCAGCAGCAGTGCAAAGCTCTGCAAAGCCAAACCTATCTCTATCTCACTATGGGAAGCAACATAGCCACTTGATTTCCTTAGAAGTTGTATTGTTGTACTGAAGTTGACTTGAACTATTCCTTTTGGGGTAGGCTAAGGAGTCTTGGGAAATGAACACAGATGAGAAGTTGGAACAAAGCTCCATTGTGAAGGAGAGAGGCACTCAGTACTTCAAGGTGAGTTACAGTCCCCAAGTAATAATAGCATTTCTTAGTCCATGTCGTGAATTGATAATGATGATTACAGCTTCTGTCATTTCTGAGTGGTGTTCATGGTATTCTGTGAGATTTTACAGTGAGAACTGGAGGGGAAGTTGTCTGAAAAAAAGAAACTCAGTTGGATTATCCAAAGAACTGACTCTGCAGGGAGTTCTCTGTTAAAGCTGTTTGCTGTACCTACAGATAACTTTGGGGCATACATGGAATCGTAGCAAGGTTACAGTATTTAAGTTTCTGCTGTGGGATAGTGCTGTGAATGAACAACATTCATTTGGGTAGATATTTGTGAAGAAGCTGTTTCAAGCAACTTAACCAGCTAAAGAAAGAGTTTCCCATTATCTTCATAACACATTCTAAAAATGCCCCATTTTCCTTTTTCTTTGTATCAAAAGTTGAATATAAGGTGGGAGTTCCGAGTGAAGTATCAATGCTGGCATATATCCCTAGTTTTAGTGGGGAACCAGTAGGTATTCCTAAGGATATTCTGATCCTATGCAGGAGTGGGTTTCGGAAGTAGTATGTTTTTGATGATAGAAGTTATTTTCTGATCAAATTTTTTTTTCAGATCTATTGCTCAAGGTAAGCAGAAGGGGCAAGAGGGATATAAAAGTTACTGTGATGAGCTGTGTGATAATTGAACTGCCTTGTTTACAGGAGGGAAAATACAAGCGGGCAGCATTACAGTATAAAAAGATTGTGTCGTGGCTGGAGCATGAAGCAGGACTCTCTGATGAGGAGGAATCAAAAGCCAAAAGCTTGAGGCTTGCTGCCCACCTTAATCTAGCTATGTGCCATCTCAAGCTAAAGGAATACTCACAGGCTTTGGAAAACTGCAACAAGGTAGTAGCGATTTATTTATTCTTAAACTGTCAGACTGCTTGTGCAGTTTATCTTCTGCTTTAGAAATCTGACAAACAACAGGCCATGTGGTGTTGGGCTTTTCTTATCAGCTGGCATTTGGATAGTACTGAATACACTAAAAATACCTAACAGATTTTCAATTACTTTTTTAATTACTGTCCACATCTTTTTCTAACTCACTGCTACATGGAGAATATTCAAGTGTTTAGAAATTAGAAACACTTGGTGAAGGTAGTCATGTTGGCATACATCTTTCAAAGAGCTGAATTAGAGCCAGGACTAAGTCTTAGACTTGCTGGTTCTCTGTCAAATAGCCTACTATATTCATTCCTCTTTGTACTAACTTCTACTGTATTCTACTTACATTACTAGTAAGCCCTGACAAGACTCGTGAGTCTGTATCAGAAGATCCAGTTCCTAGCAGTCTCTGGTGTTCTGAGGTTTTATAAAAGAAAAATCGCTCTTGTGTCTGGTTTGGTTTTGTTTTTTTAATGCAGGCACTGGAATTGGATAGCAACAATGAAAAAGGCCTCTTCCGGCGTGGAGAAGCGCATTTGGCTGTCAATGACTTTGAGTTGGCCCGAGGAGATTTCCAGAAAGTGATACAACTTTATCCAAGTAACAAAGCTGCCAAAGTGCAACTGGTAACTTGTCAGCAAAAAATACGGGAGCAGCATGAGAAGGAGAAAAAGATGTACGCCAACATGTTCCAAAGGCTTGCAGACAAAGACTTAAAGGTAAGTAACACTGCTCCAGAAGACTACAAGAGGTGGTGTCGTGTTAGACAAGGAACAGTAGTTTAGGTATTCAGCTTACTTCTTAGAACAGATAATTATAGCAGGAGAATACTCAAGTAGACTCATTTGGGAAGCAGAGGTTGAACTCAAAATAGCCAACAGTCAAAATTATGAGGCCATCTTGTTTGAACAAGAAGCTAGCAGTACCAAGCACTGCACAGAATGCTTTTACTTATTTCAACTGAATTTGCGACAGACCAGTATTAATCAGAAAGCAATTGAAGTGATGAGATACAAACATGATAATGTTCCAGTTAAAAAAGCACCTTTTCTCCTTGAACCAATTGTTCTAAAGAACAGGCTGTTCTGGTGCCTGGGTGGCCTATCTAGTGAGACCTCATGTCTGCCATACAGATGGTGCTGAGCACCATCTTGCTTCTCACGGAGACATTAAGAAGTGGTTGATGGTCTCCATTTCAAATGTCATGGATTGATTATTCTACGAATGGATGGTTTTCATAATAAGCATTCACTAGAATTTCAGTAAATACTAGTTCAGTTAATAATGGCAGTATGTGGATACAGGGTTATAACACGATTGTATCAGCTAGTAAGAAACATTCCAAGTTGCTAGTGAAAATCACATATCCTAAGACAATGTTGTTTCTTTTCCTTAGATCTGATGGTGCGGAAGGACTAGGTAGACCTGTAACTTCTAAGATAAATCTGGGATTTACATCATATTCAAATTGCCTCAGTAACATTGGGGAGTGCAGAAGCTTGCATCTTGTGAGGTTATTTTCTCAGATCTTTGTGTCTACCTTTCCAGAATACGCATGGAGAATATAAAAAATTGTTAGATGTTGGTATGTTAATTACCTGTGGTTAACTGTGTCACTGAGTCTTTCCAGAGGCCTGGTGTCCTCAGATGAGTGTATCCTGACAGTTAAGTCATCTCAGACTGTCAGCTGACAATTTCCTACATGAAACACTTCACAACCATCTCTTTTTTTTTTTTTTTTCTGGCTAAGGCAGCGTGGTGTCAACAGTCCTTGCTTATTGGAACTTGGAAGGAACTATTTTGTATTTCTAGATATAGTGGTGTAAAGCCACACAGTATCTTAGTTTTCGTAGGCTTTAATGAAAAAATCTCAGGAAGGTAAAGATACAGCAACTAAACTAGAATTATTTCACTGTTAGGCATCTTCACTTTTGAAATGGCAGGGTTTAATTGCCAGCTGTCAGACTCTGTTGTGAAGGTTCCTTTCAGCTAGCACAGCTGCTGGGAATCTTGCTTCCTCCTCTAGGTGTGGGACACAGCAAGATCTGCTGTTGAGAGAGGAAGAGTGGGTTGCTGAAGCAAGCGTAATACTCTTGGCAAAAGGCAGTCTCACAATCTTTGCGTTGCAGGCTGTTTGGGATACTGGAAAGACATAGCACTTAGTTCCAGTTTTCCTATCTGCTTGGGTTGAATCAGCCTAAAGCCATAAAATCCTTTATGTTGGAATCCTACTGACTGTAAATGAAAGATCTCAAACAACAACCTAACACTGCCAAGTCCACCACTAACCCACGTCCGTAAGAGTCACATCTACACCTAAATACCTCCAGGGATGGTGACTCAAGCATTGCCCTAGGCTTTCTGTGAAGGAATTTTTCCTGATATCCAATCTGAGCCATCCCTGGCACAATTTGGGGCCATTTCATCTTGTCCTGTCGCTCATAGCCTGGCTGACCTACACCTTGCTACACCCTCCTTTCAGGTAGTTGTAGAGAGCCTCCTTTTCTCCAGGCTATACACCTGCAGTTCCCTCAGCTGCTCCTCATCAGACTTGTGTTCCAGACACTTCCCCAGCTCTGTTGCCCTTCTGTGGACTTGCTTCAGCACCTGAATGTCTTTCTTGAAGTGAGGGGCCCAAAACTGGACACAGTACTTGAGGTGTGGCCTCAGCAGTGCCCAGTACAGGTGGACAATCACTGCTCAGGTCCTGCTGGCCACACTGTTTCTGATACGAGGCAGGATACCATTGGCCTGGTGAATTCTTCTCAACAAGTAAGTTGATCTTGGGAATGTGCATTGTTTTTTTGTCTCCAAGCCATCTGGCCTACCTTAAATGGATATGATTTTATATGAAATGGGATTGCTGGAACTGTAAACTGTAAAGGATGCTTACTCTCTAGGTCAGTCTTGAGGTCGTTTTCTTGCATGAAAAACTTGTTTTCCTGTTAATGCATTTATAATTTTGCTTTACTCTAGCTCCAGCAGTTTCTCCATTAGTGGTGGTAGTAGAACATCAGGGTTCTGAGGAAGTCGGTTTGTTTATCAGATATCTTCCATTTGCTAAGAGGGTAGCTTGGACCATAGTTCTGAGATTCCTGATACTGCATGTCTTACACTCTGTTGAATTCACCAGCCACTCTTGCATCAGTAGTTCCTTTCATGAATTCAAATAGTTCACATATGTAAAGTGTGGATTTTTAAAGGTCAGGATGTTTGTCACCTTATTTTAAGCCCAGGATTGCTAGCTAACAGGTTTTCTGAGGAGAGAAGACTTGGTTCTTGTGTGCTTTACAGAATCCTTCTAAGGATGAAAGGTTGACCTTTTATGCTTGGATGTTCTTTTAACTGGTTTTTTGTTGCAGCCAAGTTGATGTAACATTAAAGGATTGTGCCTCTTTTTCCCCTCCTATTCACCTCTCCCAGCATTGCATGCTTAAGACTTTGCTTGGTTTTGTCTGCCAACATCATAATAAAACAGATGGTTCAAGGTGCTAGGCTGGCAGGTGGAATAGCAGTTTCATTGCACTAGTTTTTGAGATAAAAAGACCAAGACATTTTTACCTCCCTTTACTGTGTTTGAAAATTATTGCAAGGCTAGGATGTGCTGGTTATGTCCTATTGAAAAGCCTAACCTTGGACCCCTGCCACATGGCTCTCTGCCTTCTACCTTTATGTGGACTGGAAGATGCAGCAAGGAGAGGGCTTTAGAGCAGCCACCTTGTCAGATCATATTTTCTTCCAACTAAGCTCTTACAGATGACATCCAAATCACTGTTGTTGAGTTGAAGTCACTCTTCATGAAACGAAGTTGTCCAACGAAGATCTTTACATGCTGAGCCCAAGTGTACCTCATACAGACTGGGGGGGTGGGGGTAGGCTAAAAATTAATCACATTGATATTGAAGCAGGACAAAAGCAGTTATGTGCAGAAGCTTTGTAAATGAATTTTAGTTAAGACTTTTCTAAGAAAGTGTTGTATGGCAAGCGTGTGCAGGCATTATGAATCATAACCACCTAATATCAATATTATATCTCAACCTCTTCTAAACAGCATCTGGTTTCTTAGTTGCATGAAAAATGAAAAAGAAACTTTTAATTTCTCTTGGCTGAAGCTCCTACTATATGAATTCAGTCTTGCAGGGGAGACTAGGTTTCCTAGTGATGAGAATCAAACAGTGTTTGTGCTAGCAGTTTTGTAATTATATTAATATATTTTCTTTGTTTCTCCCCTTTAGTCAGCTGCTACTCTTCAGACCAGCCACACTGAAGATGCAGAAATGAAAGATGAGCAGAATGGAGTTGAAGATAAATCAGAAGCTGAAGCAGAAGCATAAAAACAAACCCTATTCCATTAGTTTTGTAAATGAAAGAATTTCCAGTGAATTAGACCTTTATTTTTCTACCTGGTTGGATAGTGGCTTCGAGGGAGCAGAGGCTGAAGCCACCATGCCACAGTCAGTTACAGCTTTATGTGGCTGTTCAAGAAGCTGAATGGCAGCATAAATCCAGTTTAATCCTAGTGACTTTATTTATTCATTCAGCCTCTGTTACCGTTTGGGTTCTGTCTGGATTTACTCTGCTTGGTTGATTTGCATTTTCATAGAATCATAGAATGGCTTGAGTTGGGAGGGACCTCAAAGATCATCTAGTTCCAACTCCCCTGCCGAAGGCAGGGACACCTTCCACTAGACCAGATTGCTCAGAGCTCCATCCAGCCTGGCCTTGAACACTTCCAGGAATGGGTCATCCACAGTGTCTCTGGGCAACCTGTTCCAGTGCCTCACCACCCTCACAGTAAAGAATTTCTTCCTAATATCTAATCTAAACCTACCCTCTTTCAGTTTGAAGCCATTTTCCTTTGCGTTGTCGCTACTTGCCCTTGTAAATAGACTCTCTCCATGTCTCTTGTAGGTTCCCTTCAGGTACTGGAAGGCCACAGTTCGGTCATTCTGAAGCCTTCTCTTTTCCAAGCTGAACAATCCCAATTCTCTCAGCTTTTTCTCATAAGGAGAGGTGCTCCATCCCTCTAATTGATGGCCTCCTCTGGACTCATTCCAATGGGTTGATATCCTTCCTTTGCTGAGGACCCCAGAGGTGGATGCAGTGCTCTAGGTGGGGTCTCACCAGAGCACAGCAGAGGGGCAGAATCACCTCCCTCAACCTGCTGCCCACGCTGCTTTTGATGCAGCCCAGGATACAATTGGCTTTCTGGGCTGCCAGTGCACACTGCCAGGTCATATCCAGCTTCTCATCCACCAGCACTCCTAAGTCCTTCTCAGCAGGGCTGCTCTTGGATCTGTTCATGCCCAGCCTATATTGGTATCAGGGCTTGCTTCAGCCCATGTGCAGCAACTTGTACTTGGCCTTGTTAAACCTTGTGAGATTCCCATGGGCCCACTTTGCGAGCTTGTCCAGGTCCTTCTGGATGGCATCCCATCCTTCAGGTGTGTCAAGTGCATCATTCAGCTTAGTGTCATCTGCAGATTTGCTGAGGGTGTACTCAAACCCTTCATCTATGTCATTTATGAAGATATTAAATAACACTGGTCCCAATATGGACCCCTAAGAGACACAACTTGTCACTGATGTCCATCGGGACTCTGAGCCATTGACCACTACCCTCTGGATGTGACCATCCAACCAATTTCTTATCCATCTAACAGTCCCACCCATTGAATCCATCTCTCCAATTTAGAGAGAAGGATAATGTGATGGACTCTGTTAAAGGCTTTACAGAAGTCCAGATAAATCCCATCTGTAGCCCTTCCTTTGTCCACTGATGTAGTCACTCCATCACAGAAGGCCACTAGGTTTATCAGGCAGGACTGGTCCTCGGTGAAGCTGTGCTGGCTGTCTTGAATCACCCCCGTTTTCCATGTGCCTTAGCATAGCATCTAGGAGGATCTGTTTCATGATCTTCCCAGGCACAGAGCTGAGGCTGACAGGTCGATAGTTCCCATTTTGTCATTGGTGTTTGTTTCTTTCTGGTTCCAGCTTACTTGAATCCCAGGTTCTGCTTTCTACATTTATTTCCTTCTCTCGAGTAATCAGCTTTTTCCAGGAGTCCTCACATGAGACTTCAGAACAAATTGGCACTCCCAGTTCCGCCCTAGGGTTGCCCCCTTTCCCCATGTTCAGTAGGGAGTCCCTTCTATTAAATATTGTAACCTTTCTTGTATGCCTCCTCTTTGCAAATTGCTGAAGGTGAAGACTGAAGTCACAGCTTAAGTAATAAAGCTCCAATTAAACTCAAGAAAACTGAACTTTTCGTGGGTTTTTATTGGAATTTGCACAGAACTGAGAGAACTTACTGTCCTTTGGTCATTCAGTGTTTTTTTAATCCACATAACCACAGTGTCTTGATTATTTTTTTTGTGTTGTTTGTTCATTACCATAGAAAATTCCCCCAATATTTGGTAAAATATTTACACATATATTTGCAAGAGGAAAAAATATGTTGGTGAAAACTTCAAAAAGCAAGTCTGTAACCTATGTATAGAGCTTATCTGTTTATTTTGCTACCTTCCTCTTTGCCCCGCATGTTGTGGAATTGGACCAGAGGAAAAAAAACACAATATTTATACCTAAAAGTGACTGGCTTTGAAGAGAAAGTAAGTGATAATGGTTTACATATTACAAATACTTCTAAATCCTAATGAACTACAAACTCCTGAGTGATTCTAATGTCTGCTTATCCCCATCTCACAAGAAAGCTATTACTTGGTATTCTGCTTCTTTCTGCAGTTTGTGTGTCTTGTTTGGGGCTGGGTGTGCTTTTGGGTTTTGTGGGGGCTTTCTGCTGGGGTGGGTTTTTTGTTTGTCTGCAGGCATGGAACACAGTACTCAAACTCAGCTGTTCTGTTTATCCTGTCGTGTAGTGTTAAACTCAGCATCTCCAGTGTCCTGTTTTGAGACCATTCTAGCTGCAGGGGCACTTTTTGCCTGCTCTGCAGAAGGAAGGTAGATAATCTGTTCTTCTCAGATGAAAAAAAGTGTTTGTTTGTTTGGTTTTTTTTATGGTGAGAAAGATTTGCATGGCATGCAATGGGCTGGAATTGTGTATATATTGCAGAGAGTATCTCTGTTTTAACATGAATTACGTTAGAAATCTTAGTTTGAATTCCCAGTCTCCTTTCCTGAGACAGAAATACTGTATAAGTGCTTACTTATGGGGTTCTTTGGGGCTGGGGGGTTGCCAGTACCTGCCCCGCAGCAGTGCCAAGAAAGCTCGGGCGCTGCAGCTGTAGAACTGGACTGTCACCAAAATGGTAAGAGCTGCTTGACACGTTATACTGGGCCCGAGATAATAAATTCACCACCTGCTGCTGGGCTGTCTGGCTTAGGGAGCTGTGAGCTGCACTGCTCTGCACAGTGTACACAGTGTAGCAGTGCCCTACGCTTCAGTGGTGTGGGGGTGGGATAGGAGAAGAGAGGCAGGATAGAGTGTTTGGTAGATCATTATGTTTAAGGAAATGCTGATTTGATTTGCCTAATAAAATCTTAGAGCTGCCAGGTAATACAGGTGTTTTTCGTGAGTTCTAACTTGATAGCAAGAGCTGTGTATATGTGGAAAAACTTGTACCAAAGCATTATTGCCTCTTGTGGGAAACAGCACTGTGTGTCGACTGGAGTTACAACAAGGGCTTAATAGACATGGAAAAGTGTGAAAGGGGGCAGGAATGCCAAGCAAGAGTACTTTTTCTCCAGCAAGTAAATACCTTGATTTGTTGGTAATTATTACTGGAAATAACAGCCTCTGGCAAAAACTGTTGCTGCTGTTAAAATAAGCATAGCACCAAGTCCTAATGATAAGTTGTTGAATAGCAGTTTTCAAAAATATCCCACAGGCACGACAGTTCTACGTGTTTCTGAAAGCAAAAAGTCAGATGATTTCTGTAGCACATCTAAAACATTCTAGAGTCAGTGGTGGATATGTTAAGTGTGAGCAGTCTTGAAAGTACTACTTTGCCCTCATTGTTACTACATAACAAATTATGAAGTGTTTAAGAATGTAACCTACTAAGGACACTAAACATGCTTTACTCAGGCAGCTGAAAGGATGTTCCGTGCTGTCGTTACAAATGGGTCTAGTTGCCAGCAGAAGGTGGCATACTAGTGCTTATCAGTGAGGTCATGCATGTAAACTTCAGATATAAACTATTCGTTATGTATGTCCTTATAGAAAAAAAAATGCTTAAAATAAACAATTACGATACTGACTTTGTAAACCACACGCATCTGTCTCTCTCGGTTTATAAACCCTTCATCCTGGGCGGTGTTCCTGTAATAACCGTGCGGTATTTTTGGAGTAACAGAAGCGTCCCGGCTCACTGTTGTCTCTGGAAGAGGAAACAAGGGGTCTTTGCCGGGAGCTCCGCCCCGCGCTCCCGTGATTCCCTCCCGCGCCTGCGCTTCCCGACTCCCTCGGTGCCTGCGGGTGCGGCGGGCCCGGCGCGGGGTCCCGCGGGCGGCGGGATGCGCTCCGTCAGCTACGTGCAGTGCGTGGCGCTGGACTTCGCGGGCAGCCTCTTCCCGCACGCCATCTGCCTGGGGGACGCCGACAACGACACGGTCCGGAGCGCGGGGGCGGCGGGAGGCGCTGCGGGCGGAGCGCGGGGCCGGGCTGGGGCCGGGCTGGGGCCGGGCGTGGGCCGGGCTGGGGCCGGGCGTGGGCCGGGCTGGGGCCGGGCGTGGGCCGGGCGTGGGCCGGGCGTGGGCCGGGCTGGGGCCGGGCTGGGGCCGGGCTGGGGCCGGGCTGGGGCCGCGCGGCGCTTGCGGGGCGAGGGAGCCCGGCTGGGCAGCGCCCCGGGCGGGCCCGCGGGCCGCGCTCCCACATGGCGCAGGCGGGACAAGGGGCAGCGGCCTCAGGAAGCCAAAATGGGGCTGAGGGGAAGGACCGAGGGGCTGGTGCGGCCCCGGGGGGCTGGCGGGGCTTCCGCGCTTATGGACACAGGGAGCTGGAGCAGTGTCAGAGATGCAGGGTTTGAGTCCAAATGCCCGCTGGAGTTCCCTTGCAAAGGGAATGTTTCCGTGCTTCTGGGCTGCAGCTGGTCGGGGCTCGCATCACCGTCAGACGTGCTGGTCACCCCTGGCGTGGGACCTGGATGGTGTGTATCCAGAGGGGAGGCTGACTTTTGGTCCCGAAGAGAGGCACGCTGCTGTGGCGGTGGTGGGGATGTAGGGGTGAGGGGAAACACTTAGCTGGGGCACAGCAGATCACAAACAGGGCAGAGCCAAGTCTCAGTGTCTGATCTTAAACTGTATGAGGGATGGATGTGCATTGGGAATGTTGCTGTCAGCCACCACAGATGGTTAGTTTTGATGTGGCTGATTTGTCTGTAATTAGGAAGAGATTAGCTTAACCAGATATATGTAAATTGTTTCTTCTCCTCAACGGTCGAATTTTATTACGGCCTTATGCTGAAAAGTGCCATGGCTAGCAATGAGGTAGATAATTAAAACAAATTTTCCCACAAGAAGTTATGTTATATAGGGTAAGGTGTGCAGGGTGAGATGCACTCAATTTTAATACACAGAGGCATGATGCAGGAGATGGGATAGTGGGAGTAGGTTCATCAGCAATGACGGTTGGTGATTTTTAGCAGTCATCTTTGAAGAAATAATCACCATTCCGAAAGACCTTTGCCCCTTCATCAGTGAGATTAAACATAGAGTGTAAATCTTATGTTTAGTGTTCTTGCAGCCTCTTTCTTGATGGTTACATTTTCCTCATTGTCATCATCTTCCTCGGATAATTTAAGTCAATCTAGGTTGGAGGATGGAAGGTGGGGTGATGATGCAGAGCAGGATGTTAAAATGGTCAGTGTCACAATGCTGAAACAGTGTGTAGAGAAGCAGTAGGTAATGAGATATTGCTCTAAGGAGACACTCTATCTCTTCTATCTGCAAGAGTAAAACTAGAGCTTTTATATTTTCCCAGACTTTCCCTGTTGATTCAAGACTGTCCCTTTAACTCTTGTTTTGTTTTGCTGCTTCTTCCCACTGAGTGATTTTTAGATGTGAGTTCTGATTGTTGTATGGGAATATTGTTACTGTAATTGTGGACTTCTTCCTAATAACCCAGTTCTCTTGTACAGCTGAATGAACTAGTGGTGGGAGACACCAATGGAAAACTCTATGTTTACAAGAATGATGACAGCAAACCCTGGGCTGTGCGATCTTGCCAAGGAATGGTCAGTTCTCAACAAAATTTCTAAATGGTTGGGCCTTTTGGTGTATGTGCAGCCAGCTATCCTTGTCCATAGCCTAGGAATATGTAGGGCAGAGGGGAATGGCGGGCCTGAACTGGATCTGATGCCTTTCATGTAGTTGTGCAAGACCCTGCTTTTGCCCACAGCTGGCCTCATGGGCTGGAAGTTAACGAGCTGAATAAACACAGGAACTGGACTTCTGTCCCACCTTGACCCTGCTCTATGTGCTGTGGATTTTGACCCAGGGCTCTGACCAGTTGTGTGACAGATGTGTTTCTGTTCCTGACTCTACTCTTCTTATCCTTCAAAAGGCTGTTTAGAGTTCAAGAGATGCTTTATGAGAGAGGAGGGGTAGGGCAGAGGCTTAGCCCAAAGTGCTGGTTTTAGTTACCTTCTCTTATGTATGGCCTTCTTTTCTTTTGCAGCTCACGTGTGTTGGTGTGGGCGATGTATGCAATAAAGGAAAGGTGAGAGGAACCAAACTCTTCCCAGCTGTCTCTGCAGGACATGTGGGAGGTGCTTAGGAGATCAGGGTTATGTCATGTACTGAGTGTGGAGGAGGACAGATTGCTGGTGCTTTCGCACCAGGATCTGCCCTCGTTCAAAGAGTTTTAGCACTACTGTTTTTAAACTGTTCTTCTGTTTACATGTAATTGGTATCTTTCTGTGAGTCATATACAGGTTTTAGTGAGCAAGGAAATCCTATACTCAGAGAGCACTACTGATTTCCACGTGCCTCTGTGTGAGCACCACAAGGCTTTGGTGGTTTGAGGGTTGCTCCTATTGCTCAGTGGCTTTTGGTCTGCTTGTGCTGATGCCTGCTGTGGGCCATGGCCCTTCTGCCACTTGGCTGTGTGCATTTAAGGTCATCTAAACAAGACTGAGATACAGAATAGTCTGGACTCCCAAGCAAATTCCACTGGCTCTAATATGACTTCTTTTGTTGGATTGCTGTTTCTGGGGGTTAAGTCAGGACCAATGAGTCTGAAGGTCCCAGTTTAGGCACCATGCCCAAAATACTGTTGCTCTGTTTGCCCTAGTGGGGAGCAGAGCTAACATGAGCATTGAGAAAGCCACACATTGTTTGAGGATTGCATGCACACATCAGCTTGATAGCACAGTCTGGCAAAGATGAACAGGAAGTTTTGACCCTGCCAGTACCTGAGTAGTTTGTATGCTGGCCAAAACCTCCTGTTCCTTCTGTAGCAGTCATTGATCTTGATGGATTTACCCTTATATCTTCCCTTGCCATGCTGTGAGACAGCTTCTGCAGTTTCTAAAAGAGAAAGAATCAAAAAGTTTTTTTCTTTCCTTGTAGAATTTCGTGGTGGCGGTGAGTGCAGAAGGCTGGTTTCATCTTTTTGACCTGACTTCTCCAAAACACCCAGATGCTTCAGGCCACCATGAGTTGGCAGCAGCAGAAGAGCAGAACCCAGTGTTCAAGCAGCACATTCCTGCCAACACCAAGGTCATGCTGATCAATGACATTGGTAAGCCACAAAGCTGGTGTGGGAGTGCAGGGTGAGGGGGAGAGGGGCAGGAGGGGAGAGAAACTGTGGGGGAGTTGCAGAAGGAAATTACTATCTTGCTGAAAAAAGATAACTCTAGGAAACCACAGCCAAGTCATGGAGAAAAGAGGCAAGAACTTCAGGAATTTTTCTGAAGTGCGAGTTTTCATTACAGGATTGGGATCCTCAGGGATGCTACCTATAGAAACCAGCACAGTGGTTTCTGAATGCTGGGGCTCTTGGGGCTGTGAAAACCTGACAGAGTCCATCTATCCTCTTCTATTCCCTGCAGATGGAGATGGGAAGTGTGAGTTGGTGGTGGGTTACACTGACAGGGTGGTGCGTGCCTTCCGCTGGGAGGACTCGTCAGAGAATTCAGACCACATCTCTGGGCAGCTGCTCTTGTTGAAGAAATGGCTGCTAGAAGGCCAGGTAAGAAAAAAGGATGTTCAGAGCAGTACTTGTCATACAGTCTTCAAGAGGTGGCTCTTCCAAGGGAAGAAGTATGAAATCTCAGTTGTATGAACGAAACAATTGTCACATTGGTGGCTTGAAAGGAGATTTGCCCAATGGTTGTCCGTGTGGAACAGCTGCTGGGTTGGTCTAGGAAACAGTTGCTCTCGCCCAACTAGAGAGCATTAGCAGAAAGTACTAGTGTTGTTCTACAAGTGGTTTTTGGTAGGGAAACAGCCTTTTACTGAACTTGGACATGTTGCTTCTAGCTGAATTTGTTCAGCTCCTGCTCAGCTGTGTCAGAAGATTTGCCATATCCAGATTTAGGTTCAAGGAGCACTGTAAGCTTTTCAGGTGTTTAAAGTTCTCAAAAATACTCTGGCAGTGTTTTGTCTCTGCCCGTGTAGGTGGACAGCCTCTCTGTGAACCTGGGCCCTGATGGCTCCCCGGAGCTGATGGTGTCGCAGCCAGGCTGTGGCTACGCCATCCTGCTGTGCACCTGGGACATGGAGCACCGGGACACATCTGCGGGAAGGGACGGCTCTGCTTCAAGCAGGTGAGGGGCGTTCCTGCAGGGTACATGAGGAAATGCTGCTGTGAAGGCCCGTCACAAGGGGGTGCCACCACGCAGCTGTTGTGAGGCGGGGAGCGCTGTCACTGTCCTTGCTTCAGTGTTCTGCTGTACTGCTGGCAGCTCGTCACTTAAGCCCACCTGCACTAGAGCTTCCATGAACACTCTTCATGTATGTCACAAAGATGAGTACTACTGCTTCTGTTGTATTCCACTCTTTTGGGTTGGGCAAGGAGAGTGACAAAACGAGATCACTGAGGAGGGGGTTACTGGGAGCTAAGGCAGGGAAATGAGTAATCTTGATCTCCAGAGAGAGGGTAGTATGCAATCCAGTGACCTATCTAATGGTGGGAAGGGTAACAACTGAAAGGCTGGGCCAAGCCAAATTAATATGAAGCCCAGAATGAAATTTTAGCTTCATTTACTTGGGTTTTTTTCCAGGTGAGGCAATTAGAGGCTGTCCTAATGAGACCCCTGACAGCCAGTGCTATAAATCACAACAGAGCAATCAGAATGGTAATGAGGTGTTTGTTATTGTCTTGGTGCTGAAAGAATCCTTGTGGGGAATTGGGGTGCTTCTGTAGTGTTCTGTAAGACTTGAAGGCAGAGACAAAAAACTGCAGCAGGAGGGGAGCTAGGCAAGTCTTGATGTCCTAAAGACCTCAGTGGAATGGTACCCTCCTAGCCAGAAGCCAGGCCCAGATGTGGTCACTCACAAACTTATTGAACCCTGGGCAGATGCTTCTTGAGTGAAAAGCAGCCAGGTTTATGTGAGTAATAATAATTGTCTTTTTTTCCTCCTTCATTGGAATACATGCCTTAGTCTTTTTTGGTTTTGAGCTCTTTTCATACTTTTTTGATGCATAAAGTCATTCTTATTTTGGATTTTTAAACAGTTGTGAGTTCCTTTTGTACCTGGGGTGGCACATATCCTTTTACTTAGCCCTTTACCATTAAAGGGCTAACCTCTTCTGGAACTCTGTCAGTGTCTGGATTTGTGGAGCTTTGGAGTACACTGCTCTTGAGATTGTTGTGGCACAGACTCAGTCATGGTTCCTTAACCTGTCCCTGATGTCTTTCTCTTTTCCCTAGTGAGGCTCCTGTTCGAGATGTTATTCTACACCAAACATCTGGACGGATTCACAACAAGAATGTCTCCACTCATCTAATTGGTAGCATTGCCCGAGGTGAGAGATTATCAGCTTGGGGTCTGTGGCCCAACAGTTGCCCCTGATTTTCAGGGGGCAGTTTTTCAGTACATCAGTCCAAGAAGAAATTGGATTTCCTGTGGTTGAAAAATAACTGTGGGAAGCGGCTGCAAGAGCAGAGGAATCTTGACTTATCTTAGCTGGCTTCCAAAGAAAGACAGTTGGATTTTTGCATGTGAGCTTTTTATAGCCTTTGTCCTTTCCTAGGTAGTGCTTATTCTTTGCCTAGCACAACAGTTTCTCTGCAGCCTCTGCTGACCTGCATTTAGTCCGTCCGAATGGCTGCCATGCCGTGCTCCTGCATATGTCCTTGATCTTTGCTTTTGCATGACTGCAGCTTATGCCTTCTTCTTATTCCCAAGATGCATCTCTTCCTTCCCACAGCCTCATCTGTTACTACTTTTTAGCATTTGAATCTCGATACCTGGCAGCTACATGCTGCTCCTCCTTCTCCTATGCAGTCCCAATCTCCAGAGCTGCTTCCATATTCCATATCATTGTCTTCTGTCCCCTTCCACTGTGTTCTGTTCAGCAGTTGTATCTAAACTCTCCACAGTTGCTGGCTTCTCTCAGCCCTGACACACTGCTGTTGTGTCTTTTCTTTAAGACTTTTCTTACACACTGCCACTGCTTCCCTTGTGTAACTGCTTTGTGCTCTGACCTGTGCCTGGTGCACTTGCTAAACCCTCTCTTGATACCTATGGAGAGCAGGCAGCTTTGACTCCCCCTTGGAGTGTGTTTGCAAGCAGAAAATTCCAAGTGGAGATCACTTTCTCTTGTTTTCTGTGCAAGTATTGCCCCCTGCAGTGCTGTCTGAGAATTATTTAGGTTGTCCAAGAGCTTGGGGAGAAGAGCAGTCCACTTCCCACTTCCCACCCCCTTCCCCTTCCTCAGAGTACCTTTCCTCCCTGATTCCTAAGCTTGTCATGTTTTCAGCATCTCTGATGCTGCTGTGAGCAACATGGTCAACAAAGCGTGAAATCAATTATTTCACTGCATGTGAAGCCTTGCATCTTATGAGAGATGTCTGTGAAAAATGAAGGCACACAGTAAAAGGGATGAAGAGAAGGTTGTAAAAAAGCCCACTGATGCTGGACCATCAGTAAGGAAACAGCTGAGGAGTGCAATGCTGACCAGTTTGTGAGGGGGACACTGCAGATCTTTTGGATTTGAGCCTGTCTGAGTGAATGAGCAACAAGAGGCAATTGAGCACTCAAACAGCTGACTTTGCTTTAAGCTGATCTGTGGAAACAGGGCAGTTTATAACTCAGGAGTGTGCAGGGGTCTGTAGCTTGGAGCTGTCTGTGGGCAGTGGAGGTAGGCTTGCATTTAAGTTATTCTGGGGAAACTGCCTATTTGCTTTCAGCTCTGTTGGCTTGTCCCCGACTGCCAGGTTTCCTGGGTTCCTGCAGACCTCAGGGAGCCAGTGTCTCTCCTACGTTGTCACTGGGAGGATTAAGTGCAGCTTTAGCTGAACACAGCTCCAGTCCTCTCTCTCTCCAAGTGTGATATCACTTTTAAAACTTGACCTTGCATGTCTTTGCTGACTGGTAGCTAGGCAGAGGTTTACTGAAGGGCCAAAGCAGCCCAGTGGTCAGGGGACTCTCCTCTTGAGATTTAACTAGTCACATTTGTCAGTGCTGTCCTGCACACAACTGGGCAAAAAGAAGAAGGCAGGATGGATCAGCTTGTTCTGCATCTTTTTTATTGTTTTCAGGAGAAAGAGGGGACAACACTTATAAAATGGCATCAACTCCAGCAATTTTCTTTTGCACTTACAGGTGGCTCCAGTGAGAATAGTGGCTCGGGTCTCTTTGCCCTCTGTACTCTGGATGGTAAGTCCTACCACTGTCCTGGAAGAAAGTCCTGTGGGCTGGACAAGTCCTGGCACTCATTCAAAGCAGGGAACCAGGGGCTCAGTGCTTTTGATTTTTGAAAGAAGGTGAAACAGGGCTTCAGAAGCCTGTCCTGGGTCAGGCAAGAGAATTTGACCCAAAGACTCCTTCTGCTGACATATTTTTTATGAAGGCATGGAGGCCTCTATGAAGACAGACTCATGTTTATGTTCCACTCTCATGGCTGGTTCCCCCTGCCCAGTACTGTCACAGTATATCTGGATAACAGAAAAATGGTAAGTGGGGTTAAGTGTCCAGTATGGATTCAGCAGCCAAGAGACCATGCCTATGCTGTTAGCAGCCAACTCTCAGCAACCCTGAGTGTTGAAGGAGTGTGTAGGGCCCAGCATAAGCAAACATATTGCTCCCTTTTAATGTCTTCAAGACAGTATTTTTTTTCTTCCTTCAGGGACATTGAAACTCATGGAGGGAGCAGACAAGCTGCTCTGGTCTGTTCAGGTTGATCACCAGCTGTTTGCTCTGGAAAAGCTGGATGTTACAGTGAGTATCTGAATAGGGCTGGGAGGGATGAAGACAAAAACTTAACATGGCTTTGTATATATGGATTTAGGAAGGGCAGAATGAGTGTGACTCAGCTGAAAAAGACTGGGATTATCTCAGGATGACATAAAGTGCTTTGACTCCGGCGGTATATTCTGCACTCATGTCAGTCTGTCCACCTGCCAGAGGTTGAGCTGTGCTTGCCAGTTAGACCTACTGAGCCTAGTTTGCACTGATCCATTCATAAATTTATTTCCCGAACTACTCTTTTATCTTATTGCAAAGTTGAATGGTTTTGCACACTCCTAATACCCTGATTGTCTACAAACTCTTATGATTTGCTCTTATGATTGCTATTGAGAAGAGAAATGATCTCAAACTGCAAAATGTCTGGACATGATGTCCAAAAGTCACATTTTGTTCAGACATTAGTGTTCTGTCTGAACAAGCAAGAAAGATTCTTGACTGTCCCTGGGAATAGGTGATGTCTGGCTAATATGCAGTCTTCTGGTTCCTGCAGGGCAATGGGCACGAGGAGGTGATTGCCTGTGCGTGGGATGGTCAGACATACATCATTGACCACAATCGGACTGTTGCCAGGTTTCAAGCAGAGGAGAATGTCAGTGCGTTCTGTGCAGGTGGGGAGCCTGACTGCAAAGCCACCCCTCACAGCATTTTTCTCTCAGAGCTACTACTCCTGTCTAGGAGACCTGGAATCCTTTGTCTGTCTGCCGTGGAGAATAATTTCCCTCTGTGTGTACTGCAGAAGGCCCAGTTAGTCTTTCATCTGGTGGCATCTGGGAAAAGTAGGGGTGAGAGGAGGTGATGCTGAGGTTTTTCTGTGATGGTTTGGGGTTTTTTTCCTGTCCTTTTCAGGAGTACTACAGGAGTCTCTTGTCTTCCCCACTGCTTTTTGAATTTGCAGACTTCTAAGCTGTTCTCAAGTAGAGATAAGGAGCCCCATGGAACCAGCCCGAGCCTCGGCTTTGCTCAGTCCCCTCTTTCAGACCTGCAAGAAGCAGCTTGCAAATCCCCAAGCTTCCTGCAGTTTAGAGACACTTTCTTGGATTGTCTCAAAGGGATTTTGTATACCCAAGCCCATGTCTCTGCTCAGGTGCTTGCTGTTTTCTGCTAACGGCTTTGGTACCTCATCATGAGACGTTACCTATTTGCTTTCACTGTCCTTTTGGAAGTAGTCAGATCTCCGCATTCTGCTTTCTGCAGGCCTCTATGCATGCAAAGGAGGAAGCAACAGTCCCTGCCTGGTTTATGTCAGCTTCAGCCAGAAGATCTACATCTACTGGGATGTGCAGCTGGAGAGAATGGAGTCCACCAACCTGTTGAAAATCCTGGAGGGTGACCCAGAGTTTGCAAGTCTCCTGCAACAGCTGGGTGTAGGTGAGTACAAAAGAGTGGAGGGTGTACAGGAAGAAAGAGGAAGGGCTGCTGGCAGGTGATGTGCTGGGAACTAGAGTTCCAGGTATTTTTTGCAGAAGAGGCTTTCATAGTGCCTGTTGAGAATCCCGAACAACTGTTTTTCTCTCTTTCCCATAGATAAAAATGATGTTTCTGCCCTCAGAAATCTGATTCACAAAACCCTCTATTTTCCTGAGAAATATCATCTGAGCAGCCCTTCGCAGTGTCAGGATCCTCCTGGAACAGACTCCTCTGCCCACTGCACTGTCATCCAGGATCCCTTATAACAAGTCATATGGAGTCTGACTACCAGCACAGGCTCTTCTGCAGCTGGAATGGGGCATTTAATGAAGATGACTATTCTTTTGCTATCTCTGTCAAAAGTTCCAAACAGGAAAGGGTGTACAGGCTGCGGAGGGATATTCTTGGCTTGTAGGCTTGAGTGTAGGTGGTGGGTTCATTTTCTGTTAGCAGAGAGAGCTACCAGAACAGAAAGAGTCAAGGGTCTTGCTTGCTGGCCTTCCATTGCCACTTTCTATATTCTTTACTCGCTGAAGTGCTTTATGGGTCACTCTGAAGAAGCACTGAGGACATGGATGGAGAGAATAGCTGAGCTCAGTCTCCATTCTGGCTCCAGTGATTACTTCTGAATTCTCAGCAGGATTACAGTGCAGGAATTGCTGATGGAGGGATTGAATAGGGAGCAGGCAAGGGCCTTCTCTCACACTTAGGTGTGTGTTAAAGTACACCTGTGCATTGATTGCCTTTGCTTTGCCACTGCTGTTCTAGCAAGCAGTTTCTCACAAATCACTTCCTGTCCTGAGAAGCTGGAGACAGGTGTAAGAAGAACCACAACTTGCACTAATAAGATGTGGAAAGGCAACAGCTCCAGCAAACTCCATCTGTACTCAAGAGGCATTGCTTGTCTCCATCTTGGTCAGGGTGATCCCAGAGAAGGCTGTGACTTAACAAAGCAGCTGTGCAGTGGATAGTAAGAGGAATCTGACTTAACCACGAAACTGTGGTGCTGTGAGAGCCTGGCCATTCTACAATAAATATGCCACACTTGCCTCTTCTTGTGGAGAATGTCATGCTGTTTTGAGTCCTACACAACTGAAAGAGATGGACTGGAGGTGAAGTTACACTGGCTGGCTTGAGCAGTCTGGAAAAGGGCGTTACTCACCGAGGCTGCTCATTTGCAAAAGCCCAGACACAAACCTTTACGCATGCTGCTGAAGTTGTGCTTTTCCCTATCTTGCTTGCCCCTTGCCTAACTTAGCTTATTAGAATAGTGATGCATATGGATTTTTTTGATTTTTAGCTTTTTGTAGATTTTAGAAGTAGTTGTGTAGTAAATGTAGATTTTAATGTAGCTGTATAATTTGTCACTCTTTAGCACTGTAGTTTACATTTACCCAATGCTATTACCCCATTTCATGTCAAACTTTCTAAATTCCTTTAAGTTTGTTTAGACTTCTCTAAAGGCAGGCCTTCATTCTGTTTAAGAACATTTGCACCGTGGCTTGAGCAACAAGGTACACCATAGTCAAAGGAACCTTCGAATCCTTAACCTTGGAGGAGCTCCAAAAGACTGTACGTACTGTAAAGAAGAGGAAGATGAGGAAGAAGGGGTCTCAGGACCCCCGATTCAATTTCCAGAGGGGCGTGCCGGGAGCAGGACTGGGGAGGATCTAGGGTGCAGATAGTTCTGGGATTGGATGGATGATACCATAAATAGTGGAACCCCTGGACATGTGGCACATCTCTGTACTCCCCATGGTTGAAGGCCTTCATTAAAGAATCTGCTCTCTATCTTTTCTCTACTAATAATTGCCTGGTGAGTAATTTTTTGCTCCCTAGTGATCTTAAGGCATCAATAGGGGTGGCAGGCCCACCTGCTGGTTTGCATCTATTATCTCCTCTCACTTGAGTGATGTTTTACTGGACATGTGCAATGGAGGGAGCTGTCCCTTCTTCCCCTTTATGGCAGCCTGAGTCAGAGCACACGTAATTCAGTGATTTGTAGCAAATGGTAGCATTTAAAGGTCTTGCAGGCAGTTGAAAACCTGCTGTGCTATACTCTGCAAAGGGCAGCCCTAATTGGGAGAACATACTTTGTATAGAGGAAAAGAGTGTCTTGCCCTTGGGTTAAAATGACTGTTGTTGGAGTAGCCCTACGTGGTAGAAGGGCAGGATCTTTACATAAAAAGCATTAGCTATTCTTTGCAGTTTTCATCTGTAGATTTATATAAGCTCTATAGAGGACATACGCTGTCCTCTGTGTTTGGCAGTAGGGAGAGCTGAAACGTGGAACAGTGAAATGGTATGACTTACTCTGTATCAGCTTGCTTGCTTTTCAGGCCACCATATCCTCTGACTCTCTGACTGCAGTGGAAGTTTCTTTCAATTTTAATGACCTCACTGAGAAGCATTTTTAAATGTTCCCCTGTCATACTAAGTGCTTGTGTAAAACTGGACCTTTCAGACAGGAGCTTTCAAGTTGTAATAGAGCTTATTAACAGTGGTGTTGAGAGCAGCAGGGCTTGAGCTATGGAGAGCTGCTATGGAGACCATCTAGTCATGGGTTAAAGCAAGGAGTTGTCCTGAAGCTTTTCAGATCTAGAGTGTAACTTCAACAAATTGTCAGCTCCCATGATGCTGAGATGTGCAGCAGGCAATCACCATTGTTTCTGGCAAATAGTCAGAGCCTAACAGGTTTGCCTACACTTATAAGAGAGAACAACTCAATGCTATCTGTCCGTGCCAAATATAAACCTTTATTAGCAACACCAAATATAAACCTTTATTAGCAACACAAGCGCAAGGGATGTACAAATGGCTGAAACTGTTTTACGCAGAACAAACTTGGCTGTACGGGTCAAATGATTTCCAAGAAAAGAAGGTCAAACTGATCCACTGTTGGACTGTTAATTGTTGAGAAAGGGAAAGGGTTACCAAGGGAGAGATGACATTTATCTAAGGACCGTCTTTAAAAAAAACCAGGGCAAAACCATTGTATATGTTGGGCAGGGTCATCTGTGCACCCTAGCCCTCTTCTTTTGTTGGCCTGAGGATAACATTGCTGTGTGCTGTGCAAGCCCAGGCAATGTGCAGTGTGGAAAGCAGAGGTGAGAAGATACGGACACTACAAAAACATCCATTCCCCAAAACTCTTCATCTCTTAAAAACCACTGGAGAGGAAAAATACTAACGTTTGAGGATTTCCCTGACAGTTTTATATTGCGTGCAGCACATAATAACTAGCAGATGCATTTTGCTCCTGTGCCCCTTGTGCACATAGGAGAATGAAAAGAAGAATTAGTTGAAGATCTGTACTGTTCCTTGGCCAAAAGATGACTTTCCTTCTTTTTTCCTGCCCTAAACTCCAAAGTGCCTGATAGACTGGCTACAGCCAATACTTCCTGAAGTGAGTGCTTCTACTTCCATTGGCAACAATTTCCAGTGAAGTCTACATTTTCTCAGGAAAGGGGCCAGTTAAGGCTCTGTCTTTGGCCTGAGTTACATTATACTTTCATTGTAACTAATTTCTTGTTTGTCCTTGCCAGCCGACACAAGCCACAGAGTTGGAATTAGAAGTGATTCCTTCCCACACAGCAGAAAATGTTCACTGTATCCTACTCTGTAGCAGATTGGCATACCCACTGGTGATGGGAAGCTTTTCAACTGGCAAGATTGGCCAGACACCTTTGTACGTCCCAGTGCCAGCGCACAGCAAGTGAGGAGTCTGACAGCATTCTCAGGCACTGGGGGTATTTGCAGATAAATGATTCATGGCTTTGGTTGTGATGGTCAACTTACTAGCAAAAAAATAAAGGAAGGGGATTGCCTTATTTTCCTGAGACATAATAAACCTGCTGGCCACCCCTGCCTTTGTTTTTATGCTATTTTTGCTGAATTTAGTTATTTTTTTAACTCTTCAGGTGTATCCTGGCATTTGCCAGTGAAGTCTCTTGAAAGGAGGAGTGACTGCAAACATACATATGTGACTCAGTGGTCTTCAGTTCCATAGGTCACCTTCTAGTACTGAAAGAAGGAGCAGGTCTCTGGGAATGTGTATGGTTGGAGCTCCCACTGTGTTCAAAACCAAGTGACCCCAAGCTCCTGGAAATGGTCCTGATTATGGCTTTGGCAGAGTGCATATTCCCAGGATAGATTTACCTCTTGCACGTAGGCCTTGGAAGGGGCCTCGGAACTCCATCTCCCCATTCCTGAGCAGGTTCAGCCATGTGTATCCCACACTTGCTTCTGTTTCAGAAATTTGCTTTGACGGATGTTTCCCTACAGAGTGTTCCACAACCTTGTGCCCAATCTATTGAAAAGTAACCCAAGTAGGAGTTGACCACCAAGGCAGTTCAAAGAGTTTGTCCCTCAAATAATAACATTCCATTGTCTATATTGAAGGGATGGGCCTCATCACAAGGAAGCCAGTGTTGGACACATACAGAATGTGCCTATGCCCTGCTCTGAGCTGGCAGTTTGTACTGAATTTCTACTTTCCATATGAAAGTATTAATATTTTTTGATCTTCAGTGGAAAAGGCCTTTAGATAGCTCCTTCATTCCCTTTGTCTGCCAAAAGCAATAGAGATAACTGGGACTGGGAGTAGGGAACTGTATCTGTAAAACAGGCTTACCGAAAGAAACTACATTTGAGACAATCTTCAGCCTTGCCAACCGACTCAAAAATTACTTACTGGGCTTCCTGTGCTGGAAAACTTTGAAAAATCACCATGTTTGTAGATGGAGTTGAGTTGGCTTCTTTGAGATGTTGTAAGTCCTATTTTCTAATCATATTCTTTAAAGCCAAGACTTCTTTCTTTCACAGTGGAAGCTGAGATTTCTGTGTAATGACACAAAAATGCTCATCTTTGGAGAAAACACCGTTTTGGGCTAGAATATATGTGATCAAGTCAGTAACAGCATGTAATGTAATGCCAAGGAACTTTGGGCAATAGAAACCCA